ACCCACCTCAAGTCTGTGGCCACCCACATTCCAGAGCACGATCAATGTACCCAGATCCTTCTGTTGTTTGGGAGAGACATCGTCAGAGTGCATAAAGTGAGACAACAAATCAATGGACCCCACATTGCCCCCTTTGCTCAGAGACTTGACTTAGGTTGGGTCCTAGTGGGTGAAGTATGCCTGGGAAACGCACACAAGCCAATCAAGAACAGCTTCAAAACGAATGTGTTGGAGAACGGACGGCCCTCCTTCCTCACTCCGTGTCAGAGCTACAATTATCTGAAAGAAAAGGTGAGCTAAGGCGGGGAGCAACGGCAAGGTTTCCCCCATACATTCAAGGAAAGCCCTATTCACAAAGCAGCTGAAGACAAACTCGGACACACAGTGTTTGACAGGACAGAGAACGACAACAAGACAGCTCTCTCCATTGAGAACACAGTATTTTTATAGACTATGGACAAAGAGTTCTACAAAGACAAGACACACAAGTGGGTAGCTCCTCTCCCCTTCAGAGTACCCAGGCCACCTCTCCCGAACAACCGCACACAGGCGCTCACCCATCTCACCTCTCTATGCCGTAGCCAGGACAAGAAGCCTTAGATGAAAGAGCAGTTTGTCACCTTCATGGAGAAGATATTCGTATAAAACCGTGCAGAGCCAGCACCCCCACTGAAGGACGGTCGGGGTCTGCCATCCACAAAAGCCGGGTCAGATCAGGGTGGTATTTGACTCAGATCAGGGTGGTTTTTGGCCCAGACCTAAACAACAGTCTTCTGGGAGTTCTCATCCGCTTCAGGAAAGAACCTGTAGCAATAACGGCAGATATCCAACAGATGTTTCGTTGTGAGAGAAGATCACAGAAACTAGCTGAGATTCTTATGGTACAGAGACAATGACATCACAAAAGACATAATCGAGTACAGGATGGAGGTCCATGTCTTCGGCAACAGCCCATCTCCTGCCATCGCCATCTACGGACTCAGGCGAGCCGCTCAAGAAGGTGAGCAAGACCACGGAGCAGACACTCAACAGTTCGTGGATAGACATTTCTATGTGGATGATCGGCTGAAGTCTCTGCCCACAGACACAGAGGCCGTCGACCTGCTACGGAGAACACAAGCATCACTTGCGGAGTCAAACCTACGACTGCACAAGATTGCATCAAACAGTGCGACTTTGATGGAGGCATTTCCCCCAGAAGACCATGCCGTAAAATATTTAGGCCTCAGAGGAGAAACCACACCCATGCAACGCAGTCTTGGTTTATGCTGGGAAAGAGCAACAGACACCTTCACCTTCGTAGTATCAGTCAGCAGCAAACCATTCACACGACGTGGAGTCCTGTCAACAGTAAACAGCCTCTTCGACCCTTTCGGCCTGGTAGCTCCAGTAACCGTACAGGGCAGAGCCATACAGCGGGAACTCTCCTCAGACACTTGTGATTGGGATTCACCACTCCCCCCAAAAAAGCTGAACGAATGGGAAGCATGGAGGGACTCACTACAGGATCTGAAGCAGCTCCATATCCCATGCACCTACACTAAGAACTCCCTCTCAAAGGCAAAACGCACAGAGCTATGTGTGTTTTCAGATGCTTCCAACAAAGCCATCGGTGCAGTGGCGTACATCAGAGTCACTGATGAAGATGGACAAAGTGAAGTGGGCTTTGTTTTAGGGAAAGCCAAGTTAATCCTCAATCTGAGCCTACCATACCCCGCCTTGAACTATGTGGAGCAGTGTTGGCAGTAGAATACTATGGGGTATTGTGTGTAGGCCAGTGACAAAAAAAATAATCTCAATTTCCTCCATTTTAAATTCAGGCTGTAACACAACAAAATGTGGAAAAAGTCAAGGGGTGTGAACACTTTCTGAAGGCACTGTATCTGACTTCGAAGGGCTGAATCCTAGTTGGGGAAATGTCCACCCAACTCTTAAGTTTTGTGCAAATTTTGCATCGATGTCAATAGAATTGTGTGAAAATGTAAGTAACATACTTATCGCATACTTAAATGTGTCCCTAATGTCACTGTCTCTCTCTCCCTCTCTCTCTGCACCTTCATTTTGATCAGTCTTACCTTAGCTTAAGAATTCAAACAATAAAATATCAGTTGACTGACCACAACCTGACTGAATCAAGACTGTTACCTATACCTATAGACCTCAGTCCCTTATAACTTCCACCAATCCTCTGTTGACCTCTCTAGGCTCAGAGAGGACCACTCTTGGTCCAGAGTTAAGATAATTGCAGTTTATAATCTAATGATTATGATAAGTGGCTAATAATAGGGCCCCATTAGGAGTACTTTTAATGACCACTTTTATCTCTCCATCTCATTAGTCCATGGTGATTTAGCAGCAGGTCTCGGGGTTAGGGGCTGCAGGAAGGCTCATTACACATCATTAGGAGTAGGCACAGGGGCTGGAATGAACCCCATGGATACCCTCTTAGCTTTAGGCTGAGACTTAATCCTGGTTTTGTTTATTCAATCATAACATTTGAAAGACTGGGGGAAGGTTATGTGATTTTTTTTTTAATCGGGCCTGACCGAACACAACATCTAGAGGACAAAGCCGTTTTATTTGACTGCCAACCGAGAAGAGGCTAGAATAATTGACCAGAAACATGAACTCTTTCACTCTCCGTGATGCATTCCAAGGGGTGGAACATCTAAATGTAAGGGGGTTTGTTTTATTTAGCGTGTCTTGGCCGATTTGACTATCTCTGTTAGAGAAGAGAAAGCTGGAGGTCCACTCTACTCTGATTTTCTGTAGAGTATCTGCCGCTATGTATTGTGGTGTTGTGAGCTGACAGTATAGCAATTGGTCGCTCCCCTCGGCCATTGTCACAGTAAGGACTGGTGTTGCTGAAGATGAAGCTGAACTGAGGGAAGAGGGTCATTACTCGGGGCTGTGTAAAACTCTAACAAGGTCTTATTCGCTAGGTAAGTCATGCTCTTTTTATTAAATGCATGTGTGTGAGATGGGTGGTTATGAGTTACCTCGGTTGCTCTGTAACCGAAGCAGAATATTTATTTACCGCCCCAAGGGACCTCGCAGATGACCATGCGTCTGAACATTTGGTTCACACACTGCAGCGCGCGCTCTCATTGTTTTAGTTTTTTTGTCTCTCAATGTTTCTATTTTCCGGCCTTGTTGCTATCTGTTTCTCTATATCGGTGTCCTGCTCCACGGTTTTGTGTTCGGTTTTGGAAGGTAGAGATGATTTTGCATGTGACGAGGCCGCGGGCGGGAGCTGTGTTTGATGAATTTTTCATGTGCTTAGGCTACGATTGAATGATGGGGAGGAGGATGGGGGACAGCCTGGAGGTGCGACACTTGAATGGGGATGTTGTTGAAGTGGAAAGGGGTTGAGGAGGAGAGATGGGGTGAAGGGGGCGAGGGGGGACGTGCGCTCTTCTGCCGCCAGCGACTGCATGTCAGGGAATGGGGAGGGAGTATACTTGCAAAGTCTGTCTGATGTACCACACCTCCCACCCGAAAACACACTCGCACTCAACACAGGCGTTCTCTATGATCTAATACCGACAGATACACAGTCACCAGTTTAAAGCAACACAATACAACAAATAGCAGTCTGTCTCCCTTGACAAAATTGTGAGCATTTATTATAGGTAACATTTGAGTAGCCTATAAACAAATGTTCGTTTGTGGCATATACTTTTCTGGTCGTACCTATCCTTTAAAAAACAAGGATATGATGAGACATTCCAATGTAATTTCTGCAGCACTCTTTCTGCTCACCTCGTTCTGAAGTTTCCGTTCTACCTTCCCTGCCCAGTTTAGGAAGTTAGTCATTGGGTAGGCTAGCAGTCCATTCTATCAGAGTGCTAGAGAGAGTGGATGGGAGGGATAGAGATTCTGGATAGAGCGGAGGTAGTCACTGATAAACATCCCATAAGAGGGTCGACCAGAGGAGGGGAATAGGTAGGGCGCCGAATCTAGTTCCTCTACGAAGCACTTGTCTACCAAACGGTAAGACAAAGACCTCCTATGAATCAATTCAAAAATGTGTCAATCAGAATTATTATGTAACCAGCGAATTAAAGAAGGAATGCTAAGGTTGTTTTGTATGAGTGGGAGAGAGGCTATCGCTGTGGCCGAGAGAGGAGAACACGGATATGGGGTGAGCTGATAGGGCTATGCTCTTACGTAACGCACAATGGAGATTCATTGATCTTTATATTAACTTCATAAAACCGCGTTTTTTTTATGACATGTATTTTTCTCAAACCACACTATGTGGCCTATGTAGGATAATATTAAATCTCGATGCTTTATGTCATGATCTATAGCCTATAATAGTCTATATGCTTTAATCGAGCATCGTCGTTCGTTCATATTAAATCTATTTCAGTTTTTTTATTCTGCTAAACGAATTAATCGAAAGGAATGTTCAAGCATTATGCTGTTTAGCGTCTGATTTTCACGAATCAAAGCAGGTGGTACATTGAGAACAAACGAACTCATTAGCCTAATGGTGCATCCTGTAGTTGACAGCTTTTATACTGTGTATCTTAACATAGGATGGAAATGCGTTTTATTTTTGGGCTATTGCAGGAACCTCAAACGAATAGAAAACATCAGATTAACATGTTATATCTCATCACCTAAATGTCGATTTTATTTGATAACTTCATGCTCACTAATCGAGCGTAAATATTTACATCAGTGCCAGTGGCGCGCGCGATCCTGGAACGTTAGTTGCTGTCCTTCAGCACGACGTGCCTGCGCATCATGGGACAGAGCAGAGAATGAGTGACAGTACCCCCAAATCAGGATTAGAGAAATGTCCATTCTGAGGAGACATGTAAATATTTGATGGTAATATAAGTGGAGTACAATTGGACTCACGGAGCAGCTCCTCTTTACCATATTAGAAAAAGAAGGAATGGCAGTGATGACTAGAATATTAACTGGTATTAGGCTAATATCAAACATATTGTGAGTTATGCAGCAGCATACAGGACTGTATCAGAGAAATGAGGTGGGAGTTATCAAATTATAGCATGCAGATTTATCTGATTTGTAGGCTAAATCAGGGATTAACCTTGAAACAATTGCTTTAACTAACTTCCATATCTTATTCCCTTTTCTCTCTCTCCTTTTCTAAACAGTGAATCTCAGTCAAGGTCAAGAAGAATTGATTCTCAGTCAAGAAGAAGTGAGTTTCAGCCAAGGAAAATGCTTCACCAGGACCGACCCTTGAATCCCCTGTACGGAGGCCAGGGAGGCGGCTCCTCGTCACTGCGGATCCTCAGCAACAACAGCCAGCAGCAGGACGGCAACTTCAACTTCCTGGGTCAAGACAATGACATCATGACGGGAGGGGACGAGAACTGCAACCAGGTGCGTCCTCGTAACCTGGGCCCGTTGGGCCGCGACCAGCCCCACCCTCCCTCATCCTCCTCCAACCACTACGGTCCAGGGACCCTGTCCCCGCTCTCACGCCTCCCCTGCTGGAGCCCCCTGGAGCCCCTGTCTGAGATTGAGAGTGGGGACGATGGGTATGGAAGAGTCCCCCCCGACGGCGCAGAGGAGGGCAAGATGGAGGAGGAGATGGGGAGGATGAGCGATGACGAGAAGGAGAAACAAGAGCTGGGGGGAGGTGTCATGAAACAGGGAGTGGTGGTGGAAGAGGAGGAGGTGGAAGTAGAGGATCCGGAGGAATGGGGTGACAGCGACTCAGAGTTTGAGTTCAGCTACAGGTCCAGCGGCAGCCTGTCCTCTCTCAATATGGAGAGCGGAGGTGAAAGGACTGGGATGGGGGGGTGGGACCGCATTGGAGTGGGGGCGCCCAAGGTCAACCACCACCAGGGGAGTGACCAGGAAACCCCTGCCACCCCTGCATACCCCCTTACCCCCTCTTTGACCAGGAAGTGGGACGACAAAACGGAGAGGAAAAGGAGCGGCACGCCTCTGAGAACAGGGAACAGCCTGCTGGACAGGGGAGCGTTGTCGGACTCAGACACGGACTGCGGTGAGCTGCCCGAGTTGGAGGAAGCCGTGTGGACCCTGAGGGACCGTGAGCGCTTCAAGGCCCAGGAGATGGAGAAGCACCAGGTCCAGCTGACCATGTACCGCAGGCTGGCTCTGATCCGCTGGGTCCGCACCCTGCAGGGCCGCGTCCAGGAGCAGCAGAACCGCCTCCAGTCCAGCTTTGACGTCATCCTCGACCACAGGAAGGAGCTGCTGCGCATGGGCGCTGCCACCGCCAGCCAATCGTAGAGCAAGAAGGAAGAGCGGAGGCCATAACAGGAAGTGGTCACCAGCAGAGACAGGACAATCTCTGAAGGGGAATACAAAGGCATTGTTGGCGATGGTTATTGTACTTGTTTTGTCCCAGACTTAACTTTTCCCGAAACTAGACAATGTCCAAGAATCCTCTTGAGATTTTACTCTGTTGTGGTGTTTTAATAAGTTGATAATGCAGTTAGTTTTTTATTTATTGGCGTCCTACCCTGTGTCGATATCCAAATATATCCAAGTCAACTTTCTTCTTGAGAGCAAGGATAACTTTTTTCACCCTAACCACGCCAATCTGTCGAAATATATAACGTATTATATGAGATTACAAGTTTATTAAGAGTTTAATGAATTATTGTATCTTAAAATGTTATATATATGTGTAGACTGTGCTATTTTATTTGGCTCTATAACTGTGATATAATCCGTTCAAAATACAACATATGAGGTGAAATGTTTTTTTATAAATGAAATGTAGGCTATATCATGTTTGTCTTCTCCAGTGGCATAATACAATTGTTTTAGAGTTATTTGTGTCTTGTGAGTTTATAATTTTTAAGGTTAGGAAGATGTTGGGATTTTACTAGTCTATTTGCACTCTTCGCACAGTATAAACCCCACATCAATGTTAGGTCACTGTACACAGAAAGGTGTGGATTAGCAGCATATGAGAACAAGTAGGCTATGTCAGATAGCTCATATCGAACACATGCTAAACCTAAGGTATAGGCCTTCATTTGAGATACACTACATGACCAAAAGTATGTGGACACCTGCTCTTCGAACATCTCCTTCCAAAATCGTGGGCATTAATATGGAATTGGTTCCCCCTTTGCTGCTATAACAGCCTCCACTCTTCTGGGAACGCATTCCACTAGATGTTGGAACATTGCTGCGGGGACTTGCTTCCATTCAGCCACAAGAGCTTTAGTGAGGTCGGGCACTGATGTTGGGCGATTAGGCCTGGCTCGCAGTCGGCGTTCTAATTAATCCCAAAGGTGTTCGATGGGGTTGAGGTCAGGGCACTGTGCAGGCCAGTCAAGTTCTTCTACACCGATCTCGACAAACCATTTCTGTATGGACCTCGCTTTCTGCACAGGGGCATTTACATGCTGAAACAGTTGCCACAAAGTTGGAAGCACAGAATCTTCTAGAATGTCATATGCTGTATAGCGTTAAGATTTCCCTTCACTGGAATTAAGGGCCCTAGCCAGAACCATGAAAAACAGCCCAGACCATTATTCCTCCTCCACCAAACTTTACAGTTGGCACTATACATTCAGGCAGGTAGCGTTCTCCTGGCATCTGCCAAACCCAGATTCATATGTTGGACTGCCAGATGGTGAAGCTGATTCATCACTCCAGAGAACACGTTTCCACTGCTGCAGAGTCCAATGGCGGTAGTGAGTGTTGCAACCGAGGACAGGCGATTTTTAGGTGCTACAGGCTTCAGCACTCAGCGTCCAGTTCTGTGAGTTTGTGCGGCCTACCACTTAGACACTGAGCCATTGTTTTTCCTAGACGTTTCCACTTCACAATAACAGCACTTACAGTTGACTGGGGCATCTCTAGCAGGGCAGAAAGTTGAGGAACTGACTTGTTGGAAAGGTGGCGTCCTATGACGGTGCCACGTTGAAAATCACTGAGCTCTTCAGTAAGGCCATTCTACTGCCAAGGTTTGTCTATGGAGATGCATGGCTGTGTTCTCTGTTTTATACACCTGTCAGCAACGGGTATGATTGAAATAGCCGAATCCACTAATTTGAAGGGGTGTCCACATACTTTTGTATATATAGGGTAATTATTTGCGCATTATTATGATCTTAAATTTGAAATTAACGAATTTATCCTATTCATACAGCACTAATAGAACAGTTAAAGCCTCTTTGTATTCGTTGTTTAAATATATAAATTGCAGCCTCTGGTCCATGACCTTTCAGTACAATCTTCTATTTATCAGAAGCACAAAGTTCGTTTGTATCGCCTCATCATGACTGTGTTCTGTTGGTGGTGTGATAGCCGTGTGAGGAACAAGCGTCAATCTTTATAGGCATGGTTACTGCGTCTCTCGTCGCCGCGGGCAGGGAACTTCTAGCCGTGCTGTGTGTGTGTGTGTGTGTGTGTGTTCTCCCAGAGATACCAGCCTTCGCCACCTAATCTGCAGTTTGAGTTGAGCTGGTCCTGCAGGGTCCGGTTCCCCGGGGAATCTGTCAGTTTGCGCCCCAGGGCCCGGCGGTCCTATCCGGCCCGGTGAGCAGCCGCCGGTCCAGTCCCGCAATTTGAGCCAAACCCCGGGGCAAATTTTGGATAATCCTCGGTTATACCTCCGAACTCCGGGCGCTCAGGCTTATGTTCTAAAGCTTATCGGCTCTCCTGGACGCAGGCATTATAGTGAACGTGTGAGATAATTAACAAATGTATCTGTTGTTTATTGGCTTTTAAGATGTATGTATGTAGGGAATCAAAGGGGTAAGCAGCTGGGATAACGCATTTGTTCTGTTATTGTCCTGTGTACGAATACTGTTTCCAAAAGCGCAGAGAAACAGGGCACGGGGAGAACAAAACCTATTGAGGATATAAAATCACCATGATGTAGTTAGGCAGGCAGTGAAGTTAAAATGCAAAGGGGAATTTTACCTATAGGCATGTAGCCTATAAAATGAGATGGGATGGAGTTGTTATTCTGTCTTGTTACCTATTGGCCTCAACTCCACATAGGGCCAATTCAAGCAAAATTCTATTTTGTGTCTCTGTAAGGAAAAAGGTTTCCTTGGATGCACATTGTAACTCAATTCGGTATTCTGCGCAGTGTCTAACGTTAAACACCTTGCCCTCACCCTGAACACATCTCTTCGTCTCAGCGACACTGTATAATAGGTTTGCCACACTGCGGGACATGAGGCATGTGTGATGGAGGCCCTGCTGGGCGCGAATAGCGGCACGGGTGAAAGAGCACCCCACCCGGGGAGAAGCACACGCACCGGAGAGCTGTGGGACGCGCCACGGTCTCTCTCCTCGAGCAGAACTGCTAATTTCATCGGTTAAAACGAGCGAAGATAACGTTAGCAACGCAGTTTGAGGCGTTTTCTCCCAAATTATCGCAGAGGAGAGAGAGGTGCACACAGTTGTGCCTCGTGTCACCGAAGTCGGTGTCAACTATTTGTCTGTGTGACCCTGCGATATTCGCGAAATAACAATTCACCTGCTCATTACACTCCAACAATTGACTGTATAGAATTTACGTTTGAGACTTTTGGGGCCATTGTGTAGTCATACTTATCTGGCAACTTTGCCCTTCCGTGCGCGCATTCGTGGGTAAGGTGGATTTCGATAGCAGTGGTGTTCTGCTTAAAACGCTAACCATTCTCATGAATTAGGCTATATTTTGTCTCAATGATATTGCCTTGATTTAGCCTACCCCCTGTATTTCTGAAAATTATGCATTGATCGATCATAGGCCAGGTCAGGCTAGTCCATCCCATGCGTAATGGTGCCATAACGTATGATGGTCAATTTCAGTGATTTGCCGATTGTTAAAGTGTTTTCTTTCCCATCTCTCCGTTATGTCTTTTTCACATGACAATGACAACAAGCTTAACCCACCATGACACCGTATCCTACTGTAGGCCTATAAAACGGAGTGAAATAAGAAAACAATATTTTAGTCCAGCAGAGGGCGACTCTTCATCACATAGCTCCTTTGTCACTATTTTTTTTTACTGAAATCCAATTGTGTGTTAAGAACACAAGGGGCACTCTCCTGCATGATCAAATGAAGTAGCTTCAGTTCAGCCCCTGTGTTTTGTGAGTTGGACATATAGACCCCTACTACCCAGTGCTGTCTGATGAGTCCATAGAGCAGACTCTCTCTCTCCCCTCTCTTCTTTCTCTCCCTGTCTTCCCTCTGCCTGATGTAGTGTGACAGTGTGCTAGCCCCCAGCACTCTGTTGGCTTGGAAACAATCAGCTTTGACAGAAAGGGGGTGGTGGGGGATTGGGGGGAAGAAGGGCAGGGGGGCTGCGGCCTGCGGCCTGTGTATGATGAACTGGATAGAAAGACCTGTCGCCGAAAGAGAAAGAACAAATATACAGCAGCATAGATAGATAGATAGATAGATAGATAGATAGATAGATAGATAGATAGATAGATAGATAGATAGATAGATAGATAGATAGATAGATAGATAGATAGATAGATAGATAGATAGATAGATAGATATGTTTAATGGTAGTTAAGTATCTCATCACTTTTACCAATGATCCACATAACCAATTTAAAATGAACTAATATGTACCATGAACCATTCATACATTATATATCCTTATTGAGTATGAAATTGTGTGGGTGGTTTGTGAGTACTGTGCTTTTTCTTTGTCTTGCTTTTATTGGTTCATTTCCAGCCAGGCTTTGAATCATTTTCTTTTATATATCAGTATCCACAGCAGTGAATTATAATTAAATTAATGAATGGAAAAGCTCCTCATAGAAATACTAGGCACATTTTAATTCATGAACTGAATTTCAAACCACTTCCTGAATTGCCTGAATTGGAAATGGTTAGCAAATGCTCAAACTACCTAAAGTACAACTGGAGGGCTGTGTAGCTTACAACAGAAAGCATGAAAGCACAAGTAGGCTATTTCATCATAACCTTTACAGTGCTGTGAGGATAGAAATTGTGCTCAGAGCCTTAACAAAAGTGTTCATAGAGTGCTTTATAAATGCCAAGGAGAGTCAGTGATGGACAAGATATGTCCTTATATAAAGAATGGGAAGTGCTCTTTGCATCACATTAAAATTAATTCATCCACACATTTTAAATTTGATTTTAATATGATGTTGAAAATGTACGAGGTCAAATGTATCAGAGGTCAAAAGGTATACATATTGTAAAGTTATTATTGAAATGTAGGTTAGGCCTAATAATGATACTATCCTCCACTTAACCCTAATTGCTCCTGTAAGTCGCTCTGGATAAGAGCGTCTGCTAAATGACTAAAATGTAAAATGTAAATGTAAAATAAAGTAAACCAAAATCTAGAGGCCTTATTGACAGATATTCTCATGGATTCATAGAGGCCTGTATTTGTTTTTATTTTAACATAAAATGGACTAATTCAATGAAGTCATCATTCATCCTGACTAATGCATCATCATATTGTTAATGCAGATCATTGTAGGCGTATCTTAATTTATAAGATTTAAGAAACCTGTTGGCTGACATAAAATGATGACCCTGAATATGACCACACCAAGTTAGCCTATGCCTATACAGTGAGCCTATAGGCCTATATTTCAATTTGCTGACATGGCTGTGGAAATATTAGGCCTTCTGAAGTCCTATATAACTGATAATTTGCCTGCCTGCTTGTCCAAGTCTGAGGGTTCTCTGGGGGTTCGCCGGGACTTTCTCAATGTGGGGGTCTGAGACTGAGAGCCTGTTGGTGGGGTCTGGGGTATAAGGTTCAGCTGCCTCGGCTGCTTTAACCAGCTAATAAATATGAAAACAGCGGGTTAAAACTTTTATTCGTTCTCTGCTTGAAAGGATTATACCCTTCTATAGAGTCCCATGTAAATCCCGAAACCTCATAATGCCCAATGTTGTCCCATAAAACTGTGTTGGACAATAGAGAGAGAAAGGGGGCTTTTTCACGCATAAGGGGTTTTCACAAGAGCACATTGAGAGAAGCTCCTCCGCGACACGCCCATGGATTATGTGGCTGTGGGTGAAAGCGCTTCTGGGAGCGGCAGGTGCGTGTGCCAGACACGGGGGTCGTGCGGCAGGCGACCACATAGGGGAGCTGACTATGTCGAATGCGCGCAGCTGCCAGCAGGAATTTTTTCAGAGATTGTCACTTCCATTTAACTTGCTCTTTTTCACCCCCTTGAGATGAAGTGGTCTCTCGTGCCTAGGTTCCCTAGACGTCCTCTCCCGGTTTAGAGACGAAAGGGACCGCTAAACGGTGACACTCCATCCCGCCTCAGCACCGTGAAATTGTGGATTAAACCGAAAAGCGGTGCCACTGTTATCGACCTCGCATTTTTTCAGGACGTATAATTGAATGCCAAAATCTAAGAAGGCAAGGTTAAACAAAGTTTTAACACAATAACTCTGTCTATTCCCTCGACACTTCTATTCAAGCCCCATATTTCTAAATCATGATCCACCACATCACTGTCTGTTGGTTAGTGTGAAATTGGTCTTGCAATATTGCAGTAACTTATCAAGTAAAACAGGTTACAGTCTAGCCTACTCAGTCAATTAGGATAGCACACAAATCTATGCTGATGTTGTCTAAATTCACAAAGGAAAGTCTGTGTGTGAAGATCAAAAATCTTATCTCTGTAAATTGAACCATGTCAAAATGCTTGAGCCTCACAGCCACAACCTCATCTTCCAGGCTGTTTTTATCTTTCAGTGTTTAGAAAAAGACAAGCAAATGTATTGTTTTTGTAAGGTGAAACGGGGGGCTTTAGCCCGTGTAGGCTATTCCCTCAAATGGTTTGCACCATGCACCTTGATCCCTAATCTCTATCGTTCAAACCATGTCCCATTCCAGCAGCTCTCCCCTTAGGGCAAGTTGGGTCCATACATAATCCTCCCAAACTCTGTCACGTGTCCCACTGGGGTTTGGCTATAGTGCTATGTCTGTCAAATCACAACATTCCCCCTATAAATACAAATAATAAGACTAAATAACAGCAACATGTATTATCAAACACAACCGTACAGTGTGTGTGTGTGTGTGTGTGTGTTAGAAGTGTCGATTTAGTGGTTTGTGAAAATACATAGAAAGAATACATCTGCTCAGTTCACTAATATAATTCATAACATTCTACTTGCTGTCTCGTGCGGCTTCAACCCGTGAGCCTCTCTGCAGTATCCATGGCTGCCAAAACGGACAGTGAGTGCTGCAGCAGCAGCCAGTGAATAAAATGAAAGATTAAATAGTGTGATAAACTGGTAGATAATCATCTTTTCATTAAACTTTCATCCCGGGCTAACTTAAATATTCAAGAGCCCAATTACATAGCTTGTATCTTTTTTCTTTAACAAGAGCAGTCAGGGTGAGTGTATCTCGCTTAAGGGTTCAGTGAGAGCATCATTACTGAGTGGCCACAGGGGAGTTGACCCATCTCTCATGTGCTGGGCAGGAACCAGACTGAGAGATGGAACAGGCTGGCTGATGGCTGTCTAAATAAAGGATAGACAGACAGAGAGGTGTATAGATTATCCGGGCGGATAGTGGAAAGATGTGTGCATTGTGATGTGTGCCATAAACAGTGTGCGTGTGCGCGCCACTCTGATCAAGTCGCTTTCTCTCTCTTTCTCTCTCTCTCTCTCTCTCTCTTCTCTCTCTCCTCTCTCTCTCTCCTCTCTCTCTCTCTCTCTCTCTCTCTCCTCTCTCTCTCTCCTCTCTCTCTCCTCCTCTCTCTCCTCTCTCTCTCTCTCTCCTCCTCTCTCTCTCTCCTCTCTTCTCTCTCTCTCTCTCTCTCTCTCTCTCTCTCTCTCTCTCTCTCTCTACTCTCTCGCTTTGTGTGTGTGTGTGTCAGTGAATTAGCAGTCAGAGCGCTGAAGCCCAGGGGCGATTCCTGTGTGTGCTTGCGATAAAGGGAAAAGGGAGGAAGTATAGGGGGGAAGGGGTGCGATAGTGTGTGTGGGGGGGGTGGGGGTGGGGGGGATTGTGGAGACGAGAGAAAGAGAGGAGGAAGTTGGGAAGGGGGGTTGTGCAGAGAGAAAGGGGGTAGATATATAAAGAAAGAGAGAGTATGAAGAAGGGGGTGAACAACTAGAAGAGCTGAGAGAGCTTCCTCTGTGCTGTCAGTGCTCCTGGATCATGTCCCCATTGGGCTCTCGCTCTCTTTCCCCCTCTCGCTCTCGCTCTCTCTTTCTCTCTTTCCCTCTCTCTCTCTCTTTCTTTCCTTCTCTCCCTCCTTCCCCCTCTTTTTCACGAAAAGAGGAGAAGAGTGTCTGGGCAGGGTAATTAAGAATGGCCTCTAAACACAGGAGTATGGCAGGAACGCTCCAGATGAAAGTAAATGATTAAAATAATTACAGGCTCAGAGCTGACGAGCCGGAGTTTGGGGTGGCCGCCGGACATTTGTCGGTAATTAGATAATTAATCTGAATGCAAATGATGAGCCCTAACGAAGCAGTCAAGCTGAACCAGCGACAACTGCCGAGAGTGAAATAAGGGGGGAGAGAGAGAAATATGAAAATGAATATGAAGTATCCAGCTTCCAAAGTCAGCCTGCCAACACACAAAGCCATCAGAATTGTAAATCAATAACTCTAGCACCCAGTTTCAGTGTAGCTTGTGCACAAAAAACTCCTCACATCTCTACATCTATAACTCTCACTCATTGTGACAAGTAGATATGAATAACTTGTTAAAAATACACAAGCCTACAAAGGGTGCCTGACAGTCGGAGCTCGAGCAACTGCATAGCAATTTCTAATGTTACAAGGTGCATTTCAGAGAGCTCAAACTGGTTTACAGAGCCCAGAGAGACAAAAAAAAGACAGAAAACTAATGATGAGTAATGCTGAGATTTCTGCACACAGTTTAAATGCATTTGCAAATTGTGTGTTTATGGCTTTCTAATCTGACTGTTGATCATTTTCTAACCTGCCTTCAGCAGGCTACAGAGTTGGGAGGTTTGGAGGGTTGGAAAGAACAAACTGAAAGAGCAATCCCACTTGAAAAACAGAGCAAACTGTTTTCATACTCAATAAAAAGACAAATGCATATGATGAAAAGGATGCATGTGTGTGTGTGTGTGTGTGTGTGTGTGTGTGTGTGTGTAGCTTAGCAGTATCCTAGTGGTTACGAGCTTTGCGCCAGTAACCGAAAAGTCTCTGGTTCAAATCCCCGAGCCGACTAGGTGAAACATTTGGCGATGTGCCCTTGAGCAAGGCACTTAACCCTAATGGCTCCTGTAAATTGCTTTAGATAAAAGCGTCTGCTAAATGACTAAAATGTGTTCAACAGTGTTTTGTGTTTTTTTTTGTTTTTTTTATCTTGCTTTAGGCTATTAAACACCCCACCCCACTTCAATTTGAAGTAAGTAGTCTGTATATTCCAGAGCTAGATTGTGGTACATTAATAACTTGCAGCAGAGACCTCTGATTTGCAGTAGGCATTCAGTGGCACCAGACCTTGGTCACATGAGAAGGAGAAAAGCTTCATATATGATGACGTCAACATTCTGCGCCTATTGTTAAAGTTTTGCTGCGTAATCTGAGTGAGCGAGGCTGAATTGTTGCTCAGGCAAAACTTCACTTTAAAATTGTTAGCCAGAAGTTACAGTATGGAATATTTGATCGGGATTCAGGGACAAGACTTTGTCCTGGTTGCTGCTGATAATATTGCCGCCAACAGCATCATTCAGATGAAACAGGGTATGACATCGCTCGTTTGCAGTTAGCTAATGTTAGCCAGTTAGCTATTTAACCGGCTGTTGTTGCCCATTAACTCATTCATAAAATGTTTAAAATCAGTAAAAGGTCCAACATATTTGTCTCATACGTTTCCATTTTGAGTCATATGCTTAAACAGCAGCTAACTTACTAGTTAGAATTGTTGTGTTAATTTAGCATGCTAGCTTAACTAGCTAACACCTGCTGTTTGCCAATGAGTCGAGGTCGGAAAGCAGACACTTAGTTAACAGATGTCGCTTCCAGCAGAGATATTAGAACAGTATCTCTACTTCCAGTTCTCACCTAGCTAAAGTATCTGTCTATCTTGCACGAACGTTACTGTTCACGTGACTAAGTTTATTGGTAACAATCGTGGTGGATTATCTAACTAGTTTGCTAATTTACATGTTCACAAACTCAAAACGGTTGGCTGCGGACTGTTAGATAGGTAGAAAGGCTAGCCAGTGTTAGCCAGTCAGCTAACTAGTTTGATTCTTCGAATTGTGAAAGTGAAAGTCAGCAAGGAGTGCACACACAAGTAGGCCCAGATTACTATCAAAATGACTTGCAATATTTTCCTCTATCAAAAAATCTGAAAGCTATTTGTAATCAAACTAATTTGGAAAATGGTGTGTTCTTTTGCTTTAGTATTTCCATGCATCATGTTGAACATATCACTCGTGTGTGTGTGTGATTGAATAACCAACACCTTGTCTGTCGCCCTCAGACCAAGACAAGATGTTCAAGCTGAGTGACAAGATTCTGTTGCTATGTGTGGGAGAGGCAGGTGACACAGTACAGTTTGCAGAGTACATCCAGAAGAATATTCAGCTCTACAAAATGAGAAACGGTAAGTGCCTCCCATTTCTTGTTTCTCTGGTGTCAAAATAAAGATGGCCTAGTAGCCCTATTACTCATGGCACCACTACTCTTCTAGTCTTGATTGAAAATATAGATAAAACATTTGAGTTACGGATTTTCCATGGTTATGTGTGACTTGTAATGGGCATTCCATTCATTTGACTCTTGTCTTTCAGGTTATGAACTCAGTCCAAAAGCGGCAGCCAACTTCACACGCAAGAACCTTGCAGACTACCTTCGAAGCAGGGTAATTATTTGCCTAATAAATCAGACACTAGTGAGGTTTCCATCCAATTGGCGACAGATTTTTATGCAAATATTCTAAAATCTGCATAAAACACATTGTCCCACCAGAGATGTTTCCATCAAACATACTTATTTTGGATAAAAGGCTGTGCGTGATGACGTAGAGCACAAAAAAAGAACTTTCGCGGTTAAATTCCAATGTATAGAATAAAAAATACAAGTTAAATGGGTTCCCATCACATTTTCAACTCTACTGATGGTTTTGTCACAAAAACTGTTGCGCTATATAGCAAATGTGCCCACTCTGGTCTTGGCATGTGCGCTCTAGTCAACTGCTTGCAGATACAGTGCGTGTAGGATAGCCTACATAACGAGATTATTATGGATAAGAGCAAGATTATTTTTATTTGTCAAACGACAGCTAAGCATCGATCATCATGTCACCAGAATAAGACCCTTGATATTTATTGGAAAGGAGTATCAAGCTCATCATCATGCACTTTCACCACCCTGTGAATTTCATCAGAACTTACTTAATCTGTAGCCTAATAAACTGTATGCTATCCCAAGTCGTAATGGGAGGACCACACAACATATCATCGCGTGACTCCCAAGTTTACTTCGATATGATGGTTATTATATCAATATTTGCGCATAAAGGACTTTCCACCGCTATTTCTCACATAATACACTTTAGACACAAAAAGATCCAACCATGTCAAACGAACAAATTGTCTGTCGACGTTTAAGAAATTGTACCGACATTTCCTGTTTCCATCAGCCCAGTCGTGACTTTTTTCATGCGTCAGGTAATTCATCCGCATGAAATAGTTGGATGGAAACCTGGTTAGTGATGCCAATTATTGGTATACAGTCTGAAACAAGCCAGAAGGTTGAATACAATTGATTTTGAACTTACTCTACTGGTTGTCTGTGTGGTTGGTCCTTCAGTGGGTTGTAATTTGAGACAAAATATCCACAGGAAAGTGTTATTTACCTGACATTTTAGCGCGCCGGTACTGCAGTTTAAATTTCTATCACCTGGCTTGTTCAAAACCAACACCTGCAATACTTCGATTAGTATGCATGCATCGCATGTAGTTCCGTCTTGTGCACGTGCCTTAGGTCACGAGCAAACAAATCTTGATTGCCACACACACACACTCATGTTTTGAAATCGGTTTAATAATACCTTCCTGTGGATGTTTTATCTAAAATTACGACCCATTGAAGGACTAACTCCACGGACAAACGGCAGAGTAAGTTAAAATATAATTGTATTTAACATTTGTGACAGACAAGGGAGGTTTAGGGTAAGTGTACCTATTAAGCCCACACAAATCTAAGTGAAGACATTTCTAGCATGTACTGCCCTCATTTTTGTAAGAAAAGTGGAGATAAAATGAAAGATGAATCTCATGAAGTTATGACTTTTCTTACAATTTCTTTTAATAAGACAAACAAATATTTGATTAAATGTGAAAAGTCTGGACTTAATGGGTACCGAAAGTACCCTTTAAGCCCATGGGTGTTCCAAATAAGCCCACCTCTTAAATAAACAATTTTAATTAGTTTCCAAATGTTCAAAACGTACAAACTTACATATTTGATGTAAAATTATATTATTTTAATCTTCCCTAAAGTTATTAAAATAAACTGATCATTACTATTCATCATGAAAGTAGCAGTCATAACAGGGGCATGTCCAATCGTATCCACAGCAATCAATGTGGACTTTGTTCTTGCCAACTAGTACACACCTGACTCAACTAATCATAGACTTCAATCAAGACATGATTAGTTAAATCAGTTGTGTTATTGCTTGGTTAGAACACTGGCCCTCTGTGGATAAGAAGTCATGAACATAGACCATAAAACACACAACTTGAGTAATGTGACACGGCATGTAGAAATGTTGAAGCTGTTAATTACTGTTCTCAAAAGAATGTCCATACAGTCTAGAACACTTTACAATGAAAGAAGATACCGGTACCTTCCAGCTTTGTAGGCTAACTTTTCTTGCTAGCTTACAGCTGAACCTCTCAGCAATTCACTATCCTGGTACTTTGTTTGTGATACAAAACAATGCTAAATCTGCTGATTTCAAAGCTGATTGACTCCAAAACTTTATTAATTCACTCTCTCTCACGTCTCTCCCAAAGATTATCTATTGCCTCAGTGAACTGACTCCTGGTTAAAGAGACAGCACCCGCTTTTATAAAATAAGCTACTACTATGATAATGTTGTTGATCTGTACAATAAAATAAGTCCCAAATGGAAGGGAAACAGTTTTTTTGTCGTCTGTAGCGCCTTGAAATGTTAATGTAAAAAATGTCAAAAGATGCCCAACGATTGAACAGAGTAAGCAGTAGCTGAGTTTCTGTCTGGATCAAGTGCCATTCTGTGACTTTGGTTAATATGCCTTTTTTTCGCAGTGGTATCGTTTTGGTATTGAGTATCGTGATGGTATCGAGAATCATGATACTAAACGTATCGTTATCAAAGTCAAAATTCTGGTATCGCGACAACTCTATGGCTTATGCTATCGGCGTGACTCCAACATGGTAATAAAATCAATTGGGGCCCCATGCCATAACGGAAAATACTGAATGCATCATTTTTGACATTTTAGCTTTTAATTTGATGATTGTTAGTTCTCAAAGATGATCTTATTTAAAAACAATATAGGTACATTATCTTTTCTACATACTTTATATCTGGTTTTAGTCATTTACGTTTTCACAAAGTTTTTCCATCCTGAAATACAAATTATGCAAACTCTAGTTTGTGTGTTTTAAGCAACTTAAATCTGAACAAAAAACATATTTATGTTCATTAGGGATATCAACACACTATCCCCATGTGTTTCAATGCAAAATGGGCTTAATAGGAACAACAGTGATTTATGGTGAAAAAGACAATCGCAAAGTCTACTAGTGAAATATTTGGTAACCAATGGTTTGGGGTATAAATATACACTATAGACTACAATATTATGCAAAGTTAGTATTGATCATATTGAACAATATTTAGGGTGTCCACCCACTGCCTAGAGTGGGTGAAAATGCGCTTTGGTGATAATTTAACTTCCTTATGTTATAAAATACATTTTACCAAGACAAATTCATGTTCTGAATCGTTCAGTGGGGTCTTTCTCTAACATATCATTAACAGGATAACCAAAAACTTGGATTTCGTAACCTAATACATCCGATAATAAGCACCAAGCTCTGTTGACCGAGCGTTGCGCTTTCTCACAGCGACTTTTGAGGTTTTTACATGTGGTGGTGGTTGTCTGCAAAGTTGTTTCCGCGGGTCGCAAAAAGCAACATTTCGCATTAATATAAAAAGTGTATGCTAAAATATGAAAATACTACAGTCGTGGTCAAAAGTTTTGAGACTGCTGCCTCAGTTTTTATGATGTCAATTTGCATATACTCCAGAATGTTATGAAGAGTGATCAGATTAATTGCAATTAATTGCAAAGTCCCTCTTTGCCATGAAAATGAACTTAATCCCCAAAAAACATTTCCACTGCATTTCAGCCCTGCCGCAAAAGGACCAGCTGACATCATGTCAGTGATTCTCTCGTTGACGAGGACAAGGCTGGAGGTCACTCTGTCATGCTGATTGAGTTAGAATAACAGACTGGAAGCTTTAAAAGGAGGGTGGTGCTTGAAATCATTGTTCTTCCTCTGTTAACCTTGGTTCCCTGCAAGGAAACATGTGCCGTCATCATGTGCCGTCATCATTGCTTTGCACAAAAAGGGCTTCACAGGCAAGGATATTGCTGCTAGTAAGATTGCACCTAAATCAACCATTTATCGGATCATCAAGAACTTCAAGGAGAGAGGTTCAATTGTTGTGAAGAAGGCTTCAGGGCGCCCAAGAAAGTCCGGCAAGCGCCAGGACCGTCTCCTAAAGTTGATTCAGCTGCGGGATCGGGGCACCACCAGTGCAGAGCTTACTCAGGAATGGCAGCAGGCAGGTGTGAGTGCATCTGCACGCACAGTGAGGCAAAGACTATTGGAGGATGGCCTGGTGTCAAGAAGGGCAGCGAGGAAGCCACTTCTCTCCAGGAAAAATATCAGGGACAGACTGATATTCTGCAAAAGGTACAGGGATTGGACTGCTGAGGACTGGGGTAAAGTCATTTTCTCTGATCAATCCCCTTTCCGATTGTTTGGGGCATCCGGAAAAAAGCTTGTCCGGAGAAGACAAGGTGAGCGCTACCATCAGTCCTGTTTCATGCCAACAGTAAAGCATCCTGAGACCATTCATGTGTGGGGTTGCTTCTCAGCCAAGGGAGTGGGCTCACTCACAATTTTGCCTAAGACAGCCATGAATAAAGAATGGTACCAACACATCCTCCGAGAGCAACTTCTCCCAACCATCCAAGAACAGTTTGGTGACGAACAATGCCTTTTCCAGCATGATGGAGCGCCTTGCCATAAGGCAAAAGTGATAACTAAGTGGCTCGGGGAACAAAACAACAACATTTTGGGTCCATGGCCAGGAAACTCCCCAGACCTTAATCCCATCGAGAATTTGTGGTCAATCCTCAAGAGGCGGGTGGACAAACAAAAACCCACAAATTCTGTCCATCAGTCAGGATGTGGCTCAGAAGTTAATTGACAGGATGCCAGGGCGGATTGCAGAGGTCTTGGAAAAAGAAGGGTCAACACTGCAAATATTGACACTTTGCATAAACTAAATGTAATTGTCAATAAAAGCCTTTGACACTTATGGAATGCTTGTAATTATACTTCAGTATACCATAGTAACATCTGACAAAAATATCTAAAAACACTGATGCAGCAAACTTTGTGAAGACCAATACTTGTGTCATTCTCAAAACTTTTGACCACGACTGTACATGTCATGTCTCAAAATCGATATCCATCATACCTCTATTGTTTATGTCCTCCGGATTCGAGAAGAAAGACGAGTTCAATGGTGAGCCTGTCAGTTAGCGTTAATTGTCGCTCAGCATCCAGCCTAGCTGATGCAAAGCTATTTCCCAGATTTTTGACCACTTTTGTTCTCTGGCCTCCATTGATTTAGTAGCCCTAATTTTGGCCATCCTACAATGGTAAAAACTCGGATATTTGAACGGATTATGATCGAGACATTAGGTTTGGACCATTGGTTTTCTTAGAGGAGTATCTACACAATTAACATATTACCCATTGGTCTTTAAGCCCACCTAAGATAAATGTCAAATTTATAAAAAATGGCATCTATGTATAACAATGCAAGGTTATTTTATAAACAAATAAGAGAAAATGCATTTAAAAATGTAAGCTGTGAATGCCTGAAATCGATTATTTTGTAGTTGACCAAGTGATGTTGTTACTGTGTGACTGTGACCTGCAGGCATGACTGCTAGCATGAAAAACCCATATTTTCAATTGTCAAGAAATAGTAATGAATGCCCATGAAATATGCTATCATGTGCATATATCAGTACATTCATTTCTTAATTTTACATAAAATAGATCTTAGGGTCGCCTCAACACAAGTTTGTTTTGCAGCTTTGAAATTGGGAACTTACACAGCAGTCAATAATTCAATAATAAAACATCTGAATGGCTTAGAATATCAAATGTTATGGATATAACAACCAGATAATAATAATAATAATAATAATATGCCATTTAGCAGACGCTTTTATCCAAAGCGACTTACAGTCATGTGTGCATACATTTTTTACATGTGGGTGGTCCCGGGGATCGAACCCACTACCCTGGCGTTACAAGCGCCATGCTCTACCAATTGAGCTACAGAGGACCACATTGAGCTACAGAGGACCACATCTGAATTGGTTGAAGCATTAAAATGCAGAAAATGTTTATTTTTTATTTAAATCCAAAGATGGAAGTGGGTTTAATGGCTTACCCTACTGTGGTTTTCTTTCTCTATATAGTTGTGTGGCTTTGCTGTAACGTTACAGCATTGCCTCAGCGGGACTAGGTCATTATTTAATGTGGACCAATGCTCTTATTTCTTTCCAATGTAGCCTAGCTTACCATACAAAGGGACTCCTAAGTTGCTCTGTGCTTTTGCCGCTTAGCCTATGTCACATATTCAGGTGGGAATTCAGTCTAACGATCCTACTACACTGGACACTTAACCTTTGCAGAGCGTGAAATTGGGCACAAGCGTGTCGGCCACTTCCAGTGTAGCAACTAAAAAAATACCTACTGCCTTCCTGATGTGCTAGTGTAGCACATGTATTACACACATTTTGTCTCTGTTGTGTACCTCTACTATAGCAGGTTGAGATGTGGGCTGCAAGTTTATTTGGACTGATCCAGAGACATTTGTCAATATGTTGTGAATTGGCATAAGTGTTGCTCTAGTCTCAATGGTGCGCAACACCTGCGGCAGAAACATAATGCAACCCACCGGGTCCCTGTCCTACTACTCCTTGGAGTGAAGCATTTGAGCGTGTGTGTGTGTGTGTGTGTGAGAGAGAAGGAGACTGTGAGAAAAACACAGGAGTCAAGTCTCCTCGTATCCATCCCTCTAAATCTCATCTGGTTGCGGCGAGGTTAATATGTTAGGAAGAGTGCAGCCGCTTCCTGTCACAATAGCAGAAGGATGAAAATAATTACAAAAAACAATTAGTGAGGCTGAGGAGGGAATGTGGGACACAAGGAGGTGGGGAGCCGAGGGAGTGGGATAGGGAGGATCGAGAGGGGGGCAGTCCCAAGGGCTTTGAACTAGACCCAGAAGACAACACGGCACAGACGAGAGTGCGAGCGAGCGTCTGTGTTAGTTAGGCTGTTGCTGGTTCAATATGTGCTTTAGATATGGGATAACATTACAAAATATTCTGAAGTTCATGCCTGCCCGAAGGCAGTAATACCATAATTTCTTTATCCTGTGGTAAAAATATATCCTTATTTATATTGAATTTTCGTACGCGGTTCTCGCAGGGTTCCCAAAAGTATTAAGAATTGTTTTCGTTAAAGCAGTTTCTTGTCGACATCCCACACCTTCCTTTAGCTATGCTCTCCAATTCACACCCACCCCAGAGTATATGGACATGCACATATGTTACATAAACATGTTTTCCATTCCTTCCTGAGCATTTATTAATATTTTTTCTCTCTTGTCTACCTGAATGGAGATGAGCTAAGCTGTTAAGCGAAGAGGATGTCTCTTGTGGTTCGAAACCTCAGGGGATGAGTGGTAGCGATGGAGCTTGGCATTGGGGGGATCATGCACTGTGTACCTACCAGGGATCCAGAACAACAACTGGGCCTCTCGATAACCCCAGGAGTAAGTGCCAAGCTTCAGAGAGATGGTGTAAGAGAAGGGAAGACGGAGAACACTGGCAAGCAACTGTAAAGAAGCCTGAAATCAACTAACTGCATAATGTATTTCAAAACTGTATTCATAAAATGAACAGCATAGACACTGTTCTTGTTGAACATTTCAGTGTTAATGGTCTTTACAGGGTTTCTCTGTTATAAACCATTAACTCAGTCATATGTAGCCTCTTGGGTTGTTTCCAAAAAGTAAGCCCTCTTGCTTATTTAAAGATTTAGCAAAAAGGCCACAGCAACAGTTGCTGGTGCTAGCGTCGCATATGGGGTTTTCTTTTTTTAGTACAGCACGGGCACAAATAATTACTAGTGCCATATTGCACACGACTCCCCTGTTCCAGCACAGATGAACAATTAATACAGCACATTGAGGAGAAATGCCAATAAAGAGAACATGTCCTGGGGCACGGTGCAAAGAGCGGGGGAGGGAGGGAGGGAGCGAGCGCTGGCACGTGGGAGAGGAGAGGGAGAGTGAGCGGGGTTGGGTTGATTTACTACGGTTCACTTCTTTCATCACCAGAACCAACCGTACATCCTTCCTTTTTTAGTTGAATTAATATTAGTTAGACACCCCATCTCTCTGCGTGTTTTATGAGGTTATTTTGAACATGTATGTGTTGTGTGTTTGTGACTAGGCGTGAGTTCAGGTGCCAGATTTAACGAGCCTGCTGCCTGGTTGCTGGTGCCCTCTGAGGTGACATGGGGAGGAAGGGTTATTTTGTTGCCAGCCCTAGCGCTGTATTGTAACCTGTGAGACAGGTGTCGCTCGGGTTGGGTGGTGGTGATGCCACTGGGGTGTTCCGGGGCACACCAATGGGTTCAGGTATGGCCTGGCGAGACACACGCGCAGACACACAACCCCTCTCCACAGGGAGCATGGTAAGTAAGCCTTTCTTTCCCCTGTGGCAAGTGTCTAACACACATTGATACTAGGGCCAGGTGTTCAGATTACAGTAGGTTACTGCAGCTCAGGTGATTCACATTAGACATCCACTGTCTCTCTCTCTATTCTAGGACTGGGTTCATATGCAAAGCCTAGCTGCTGAATTGTAGCATTCGTTTCATAGCATCAGTAGGTTTAACTCATTTTAACCGGAAGCTCTACAATTGTCAAACGTCAATCCAGGGCGCGCACGCCATGACTGGTTTCTGAAACTTCAATTTGTCCTGATAGAGGGATTATACCAAGGAGGGTGGATAGCGAAAGAGGAGTATTGCGAGCGTGAAGAATAGCTCATTGAAACGGAGTGGCTAGAAGGATAAAATAAGTAATTTAAGGGAGAGCGGGAGACTACTTCAGAAGTTTTTAATGAGCCCTGGCGTTACTCCAGGGCATAGGGTGGAGGGTTGTGGAGGGGAGGATGGTGGAGGGAGCAGCGGGGGTGCCGTCTCCCAGCAGATGTCACACTGCCAGTGACACCATGACCCCCCCCCCCCCCAGTCCTCTCCAACACCCAACCCACCTAACCCCCCCTCCATGTCTCGGCAGTTTCACACCCGTCCTCGTAGTCTTGCGCCGCTGTTGTTTAATCTCCTATTTTGTTAACTTCAAAATCAAAGCCGATAATTAGGAGAGGCGATGTTTGAACGAGCTGAAAATAAACTGTAACTACTTTATAGTTGCGTTCTGTTGCGTTCTTAATCATACGCTGCCGCTTCAGTGTCTGGCACCCACCTTATGCAACAATAGTTTAATGTGCTGACCATAGAGAGAAATCGTTAGAGTGCATTAATAAATCGATTAGTCTCTATGGTACTGACTATTGGTCGCTGTTGGAGCACCAACCTTGGAGGAAAAGAAAACTGGACGTTGTTGTTCGGATGTGGACGAAGAATTGTATTGTGTGTGTGATCATTTTGTTTATTGTCCATTACATCTCCATCGTGAGAACATTGTCATAACACGATAATATCGTCGTATCGCAATAATAATAATCACAATTGTTTTCCATATCTTCGCTGACCTATGACCTCTCTTTTCTCTCCTCTCTCTCACCAGACTCCGTACCATGTCAACCTGTTGCTGGCTGGGTTTGATGAGACGGACGGCCCAGGGCTCTATTACATGGACTACATGTCTGCTCTGGCCAAAGCCCCCTTCGCTGCCCACGGCTACGGAGCTTTTCTCACCCTGTCCATCCTCGACCGCTTCTACAGGCCAGGTGGGATCTCGTTCTTTATCTCTCTCTTTCTCCATCCACATCTTTTACTATTCCTCTATTTTATTGCCCTCAATCTCTTTTTTTTCTCCTCTTTCTGCCTCCGTCTCTCACTATCTTCTGTTCTAATCATCTTTGTCTGTTTCCACTATTCCTTTCTCTGTATTCTTTGCTCTCTCAACACTGTAACAGAATTAAATAGTAAATGATTGAAGAGTTCTTGTATTTATGTTCAACTTCATCAGGATGTGAAGCGAATCATATTGCTCTCTTCCGGTCTCTCTAATCACTCTCGTGCTTCAGATCTGACTCGCGATGAAGCCGTAGACCTACTGAAGAAGTGCATTGAGGAGGTGAGCTCGGTTCTTTTATCTGTTTAGAGCTAACTGAATAACAGCAGTGTGCTTCATCACCACCTGATAAGTTGGTTTCAAGTCATCACGTTTGGAGATATTGCTGTGATGCACATTGTCTCAGCAGTCGGGTGCAAGTTGCTTGAAATGATCAAATTGAGATGTCTTTATATTAGGAACATTTAATTTTGCTAGAACTGTTCGGTGAACCGAGAATATCACACATAACATGAAAATAGCTTTGTTTTCTATATTCCAGTGCCGCCACTTGCATTGGTATGAAATGACTCATGACCTAACTCCACTCTCTCTCTTTCTCCTCCAGCTGAACAAGCGCTTCATCCTCAACCTGCCCTCCTTCAGCGTCCGTTTGATTGACAAGGACGGCATCCATGACCTGGAGAAGCTTACCCCTGTGGGCGCCAAGTGACCGCTCACTGCTCACCCCTAATGCCCAAATTTTTGTACCGTAGACCTTGCTCTTTATGTTCCAATAAAACGTGACGCACTGTTGAGATATCTCTTTGTCCTCGTGGTGCTTTCCTCAGTGTCCCCTATAAAGAGAACAGCATTCTGGCTGTGTACGCTGTAATCTGTGTGTGTCGTGTACGTGCATAGTCGACCGTGAGTGAAAGTGAAAAGCCATATGATCAGAAATGAATGATAACATGGATTTGTTTGATTATTGCTATTTAAATGATGGACCTTGCATCTAAATGTACCTAAATAAAATGTGTATTTTCATGAGACCAGTACCAAATAAATGATACTTGTATTCCGTACACCGTATATTTAAGTATTATGTTTATAAATACATAGCTTGGTAATAGGAGTATAGGCTGTCACAACACTGAAAACCCTAATTTTCCTTTCCATTCAGGAAAAATGAAACTGTATACAGCTGGATGGGAAAACTGGGCCAGAATAATGAATATCAAGCCAGTGTTTGTCTCCAACTCCTCTCTCCTGCTATATCACAGAAAGGTGATTAATTAACATTAAACAATCCCTTCTCTCCCAAACACACCGGAATCTGACGGGAAGAGCAGCATATGTTTGCCTGGAGGCACAGAGAACAACCCTGCTGAGTGTGAGATATAGGAAAGGAGGGGCAGGTCACAGGGAGATAGGATGGGGGAGTTGACGCTTGGGGTAATGTGGAGGGAGGGGGCAGGTAAGAAGGTGTAGAGAATGGAGAGAACAAGAAGATAGGAGAGGTAGTGTAACACCAGATGGGGGAGAGGGACGGGAGATGAGGTGCAGTGTTTGTTGTGCACTGGTGTCGCGATGGTCTCCCAGGTACCGGTGGGGCTGGCTACTGCCTGGCACGGTGACTGTTGCCGCTGTCACCACTGTGAAGGTGAGGGATAGCTTTCACCTCATCGCTCTGCCGTAAATGGGCTCTCTGAATATTTAGTGGCCCCTGGGGTGCACATTCGCATCAGTAATTATTATTTTGTGTTTGTGAGTAGTGTCTATGGTTAATCATAAGTGGTGAATTGCTTTTTTTTGTTGAATATTCTGTTTTTTAAATTAGCAACAAATATTTTCTCAATCAAAAACATTTTAGTAAAAAAAATGTTTGGTATATCTTAAGAAATTATTCTTGAGATAAAAACAACATTCACCAGCAATTTGACTTTTTTAACCATTCATATTTTGAATGATCTATTTGATGGCCAGTGGCTTGTAGGTATTAAAATCGTGAATAAATAAACATATTAGAATAAAACTTGAATTTACATTAAAAATCGACAGTGAATGATAAAACATGATACCCAGACAGTCCGCATCAGTTATTCTTTAATAATATATTACATTTATGCCGTAATACAATAATAATAACAGTAATAACATTAATATTAAACATACACAGTAAGTACAAAATGATGTGGGGTTTTTCTTAATTTACCCACACCTACCCTCCCCTTAAAATAAATCCCATAGCTGCCTGGGACACCACGCCCCCCATTCCCACCCCCAAGAACTCAATTACACAGCAGCACCCATATAGAATCGTAGTACACAAACTGCCCATCCTATGGGGTGGAGTTGGATGGTATCCAATGTCCAGATGAGGAACGAGCAAAACTGAGAAAGTTGACTGTCCTGGATATGGCTCGTCTCTTGTGACAAGATGTTTTCAAAGTGGGTACAAGTCCAGACAGTCAAACAGACTTTGAAGGGAAGTAGCCTAGAGATAAATAGTTGTATCTCTATGGGAAGTAGAGGGCACTCCAATGAATGCAGGTTGACAGTCAGACAGACAGGGACATAAAGCCAGAACTCATCCAGAAAATGTCATTGGCAGTTAGGAATGGACACTGCCTAGAAAACCAGCAGCCCAGAAGAAGAGGTCCATGCGTCTTTGTGTGAGGTGGCCGACATATACAGTACAAACATCACCATGCCCTTCCCTGTGAGGGATTGGGCCACAGTAGGAATTTCGGGAAGAAACGTCAGTCTTTGTCCTCTTAAAGGAGGCTAAGAAAGGATGGAATAGGGAAAATCAGTCAGTCCGTCAATCTCCAACCTCGTCAGAAGCCGTCCACCTATTTGCGGTGCTTCATCTCCTTCTCGTGGTGGCCCTTGCCACCCCCGTGGTCCTTGTCTAGCATTTTGATGGCCTCCACCAGGTAGCTCTGGAAGGCGGAGAGGGCGGCGCAGATAGCTGGGGTGCCGAAGCCGTGGGTGAGCAGGCTAAAGTGGGTGAGGTTGCTCTGGACCCCGGGCTCCAGACAGGGGTTGGGACGACTCGCCCCCAGAGGAGAGCGGTCCTGGGACATTAGGTCCACAAACTCCTTGCAGATCTCCCTGAGAAGAAAAAGTAGGAGCAGGGTTAGAATTTTTCAATGCCAATGTTGGTTTTTAATCACAATTTCTTCATTATACATCAACATTTTACAATGTAATGGGACGATAATCACTCATTAAAACTAAACACATATTTCCTAAATAGCTTTGTCTGCTTCAGTTAAGCTGAACATCTTTTTTAGTTGGTGTCAACCCTTCACGCAATGCACACTATGTATATCTGTATGTATATGCAATACTGGAGATTGTTCAATATTAGTGAGACTGTATATACTGTCAGAGTGTATTAGGCCCAGACAGGGATCATGAGACACTCACTTGGTGGCCAGCAGCATACTGCGTCGTGTGGGAAGCTGCTCAGGGTCACTCTGCCTACACAGATACTCTGCTGTCGCTCTGGCAGGGAACTCTGTCTCACACACATACCCAAAGTCACGGGCCAGGTGGACCGCCTCACCTGGGAAGGGAGGAGATAGAAAAGACTAGTGAATGACCGGATGTCAATGTGGAGGGTCGGCAGGAAATAAGGCAAAGCTCAGTTTATGTGATGCTCTTGTTTGGGTTTATCATTGGTTTATGGTACTGGAGGATCTTTTATGTTATTACTCATTCATGACCAATTTTCTTTCAATTTAATTGTGCAAATACATTTTGGTTGAAAAGTGAATTACTCACAGTGGCAGTAGATTTTAATAGAGATTTGACTAAGCGATAACTGGGAAATATGTGCTCTACCTAGAGTTGTTCTTTAAATCTACAGTATGTGTGTGTGTGTTCACCCATGAATGTGTGTGTCAGTATGTGTCCAAGTTACTGTGGGCCTCTTACCCTCCACTAGAGCCGTCAGGAGGGTGACGTTGGCTGCCTTGCGTCGCCCAGCAGGGAGATTGAGCCCAATCTTCTCCAGACGCTCTCTCAGACAGCGCCCACCATTCTTTGACTTTGCCCTGAGGGAGTAGAGTGGAGACAGAGAGAGCAGCTTAAGATATGTCTGTGTGGCCACATAACAAACCACTGAGCCTAGTCCTTGGCTCTGGCTGCTCACTGCTAGGTCTGTCTGTCTGGGCTGCTTTCACACAAGAGTCCCCATGGCCATATAATAGTACTGTTGCCACTTGATGGTTTCATTTGGTCCTTTGCTTTTCCTTTCCGTTTTTGTTAGATATGGTGTCGAAGCATTTATAGAAGGACAATTATTTGAAATATGCACTACCAATGTATGAACACTGAACAGGAAAAGTGTTTCATTAAAAAAACATGCATTACAAATTCTTAGAGGAATTGAAAATGTGTCTTATAATATATGCATTATTACATTCTCTGTAGAGGAGTGGGACTTTTGCCACTGGATATATTAAGCAATCAAGGGGTGACAAATATTGTATTCTATTGTTCAGAATACATGAATACATCTGTTGTTCAGAATGTTCTTATTTGATTCATTATCATGTGAAGCTGTGTGTGTGTGTCTGTCTCCACTGTTTCTTTCTCCCCACCCCTAACTCCAAACTCCGACCCTCTCACCTGCGCAGGACTCCGCCCAACAGGGAAGCATTGAGGCACTCGGGTGGGGCCAGCCGTCGCTGCACCTCCCCCACAGTGACCTTGTACTTGGAGGTGGAGCTGAGGAGGGAGAGACGGCCGGGGACGGAGCAGAACACCTCCCCTGGGTTGGACACAGAACCCATCCCTAGACCATCCTTACTGAGGTGGAGTGCCGACAGGGCCGAGCCATTCAGCTTGGAGGGGATGGGAACTGTGGAGAGAGAGAGAGGGTAGAAGGAAGCGGGAGAGAGAGAGGGTGGAAAAGGGAGAGAGAGAGAGATAGCAAGATAGGAAGAGATGATAGAGAAAGATTGGTATTGGGGAGGGAGAAAAAAAAGTGTAAAGGTGAATAAAAATTGAATTTCCACAATCCTTTCTAATATACATGAAACACTTTCAACCTTGATGTTCTAATGGAAGTAATGTGTTTATTACATGGATAATAAATTCAGTGGCACGTTTTCCCCTGTGTTGACAGCTCTAGTTCTGGTACCACTATTGCTGTTGTGGTCACAGCAGGTGGGTGCCTTGTTTCTTTAAGTAACACATCTCATATAGATGTTATTCATACCGCACTACTTTCACAGTCACTTTTCTCTGACTGCTAAGCTTAAAGACCTTCATTCTCAAGTATTGAATGTTGCTAGAACTTAAGTTTTGCCTATTTACAGGTTTAAAAACTGGGGGAAACTGGGGACAAAGCAGAACTACCATATGAATGCAAATTATAGAATTGTTGTGGCTAAGAAAGCATTTGAACCGTTAAAATCTAAGCATTGTGGTAATATTTGCCGTTACCACCGTGCTTCTACACCTGCATTACCACCGTGCTTCTACACCTGCATTACTAGCTGTTTGGGGTTTTAGGCTGGGTTTCTGTACAGCACTTCGAGATATTAGCTGATGTAAGAAGGGCTATATAAAATAAAATTGATTGATTGATTGATTGGTTACTTGAGAGGAGTATTCAAAAAATTATTACAATTTAAATGGCCATTCAGTTCCTAATAATGATTTATGTTGACGTAAAAAAATTAGTCCCCTTGGCTTTTTAATTTGTGCTCAAACATCTTTGTTACATCATCTTTTAAACCGTTAATTTGTTTTCTTCAGATTAGCTGGTGTAGCCCACTAATCACACATCTTTCTCATTCCAGAACTGTGGGCTGGGATCTAAAGGCTATGTGGCTCCTACAGGCTGAAATGAGAGGATTGAATTAACCCTTTCCCTCTGTGAGTGTCTGTGTTTTATGTATGAGTGTGCATTACGGTGTTTCTATGGTATCCTAGTATCCTCTCCTGCCCCTGTTTGTGTGTGCATTTGTGTCTGTGTTTCTGCATCTCTCTCTTCAGCCCCCTACTAACCCCCCCTTATCCCTTTGGCTCAGTGCATCCTCCCAGTGACTAGCTATACTGTTGCAGAGTTATTATCTCTGTGCCTACTGTCATCTGGGGCGGCAGGTAGCTTAGTGGTTAAGAGCGTTGTGCCAGTAACCGAAAGGTCGCTGGTTCTAATCCCCGAGCCGACTAGGTGAAAAATCTGTCGTTGTGCCCTTGAGCAAGGCACTTAACCCTAATTGCTCCTGTAAGTCGCTCTGGATAAGAGCGTCTGCTAAATGACTAAAATGTAAATGTAATCTGTGCTAGTGCTGCCGCTGTAATGCAGTCTCTCCACTCTCTCTCCGTGGACGGCCTTCCCGGACAGAAGGGAGCTCTCTCTATCCCCCATTCAGAGCCAGCCAGGCCCGGCCGCTGAACAGTGGAGAGGTCTTTTAGGTCTCTCTGTGTCTCCCTCTCCCTGTTCTGTTTCGCTCTCTCTCGGTTTATTTCTCCCTCTCTCCCCTCAGATCCGCTTATTCATGTGGGCTTTGAGTTTGTTCTATGCTCTTAAATCCGTGGCCATGAGTACGCGCTGTAATTGATACATTCTCAACCTCTGCAAATCAGTGGAATGACAGTCATTTCTCTTGAAAATGAGTGTTGGTTGCAAAATACATTTTAAGCATTGCTCATGCATAGATGTCATGTCTCCGGTGTAGTCACTCAAGCTGATTTGGAATTTAAGTATTTCAAGCTGATTTGGAATTCAACTTGAATTAGTTAATCGTGCCCCTGTGTCTTGTGAAAAATCCTAGTTCTTAGTATTGGTAACAGAGTGATCATACGGCTGTGAATTTCCCCAGAACTTCTCTTTTTACCCTTCTTTCCCCTCCCTTTTCCTTGGCCCACTTCTTTTTTCTCTTCCTTGCTCTAATCCCCCTCGCTCTCCCTCTCTTCCTCTCATATGACCATGAACAGTTCATTAAGAATGACTGCCTTTAGGGTGAAGTCTGCAGCCGAGTATTAGAGGACTTTTTGACTTCAAATGAAATAGCAAAACAGAATTATTTATAGTGTGTGTGTGTGTGTGTGTGTGTGTGTGTATGCTGGAGGGGTGGTTGGTGTTTATAGGGAAGGGTGCGCACACACACAAACACACAGAGCTCTGCCATCCCTTACCTTTCTTAATGACGGAGTGGTCCAGGATGCCCAAGGCTGATCCCTCCTCCATTCCCTGTGTTGGGTAGATACAGTGGGCAGTCAGGATCATTTATTCACTACCCTCACCAGCCAATTCAAAACTAGTCTGGGGCCAAGTGCAATCTATAATTTAGCTCTTATCACAGTGTATGAAAATTATAACAGTTGAGTGGCAGATTTGCTAGAGTCTTGTGGTTCGTTAGGGAATCCGTGTTGGAAACTAGACTCAGAAGAGGGCAGTTTAATGAGAAGCCGGCCTTAATTCTACGTTGAGGTGGTTATTGTGGGGCCCTTATCATAATACAGTATATGCCACTTAGCAATCGCTTTTATTCAAGGCCAAGTGAATACATTTAGTGTATGTGATCTCTATGAATAGAGTGGAGTTGTGGTCTACACACTATAGGTGTGGAAGAAAAAGCAGTAAACAGAATTGCACTCTTTGTTGAAACTGGCTGTGCAAATATACAATGTTGTGTGGTCAGAGAACAAAGAACAAGACAAAAGTTGGCCCTGCTTAACATTGTCTTTACTCTATGAAAACCTAGACAAAGAACTGACATATTTTGTGTTTGTGAGTTGAGAGCAGTGTCTTATGGGAGGGCTATTGGCATGATAATCACTTTGTCAACTCCATATGTCTTTTACACATTTTATGTTGTGTGTATTTTTGACATTAAGTTGTAAATTAAAAAAACTACAGCATAAGTAGGGTGTTTTTCACTTTAAATGACAAAGAGGCTAATCGTGAGATAAACCCTGCGATCGCACTCCTTTTCGATGTGAATTCTTGCACATCGGACATTTTGAAAAATTTCATCATAGAGCCCAATTTTCTAGTTGCTCAATCTTTATGTAATTATCCATCTTAAGCCTAGGACTACATATGTTTATAGGGACGGATCAGGCCTACTTGTCTATTCAGCAAATAAACTTTATTTAAAAAAAGTACTTTTAATGTTTACTACGCTCAGACATAGGCCTACCTTTACATTTTTACATTGACATTTTAGTCATTTAGCAGACGCTCTTATCCAGAGCGACTTACAGTTAGTGAGTGCATAATTATTTTGTTTATTTATACTGGCCCCCCGTGGGAAACGAACCCACAACCCTCGCGTTGCAAGCGCCATGCTATTTTGGGGGGGATATCATTGAACTACAAAATAAAGTGACCAATATAATCCGCTATAACAAATTCAACAAACATTTCAACATTTTAAACGTTTAACTGTTTGCCATTTGTGGGGTATTTCTATGTTATTCTACATGTGTCATGAGGAGTATGATAATAAAAAAAATATTCTGCAGAGAGAGATGCTCTGTGTGTCGGATTTATAAGGGGACTCAAACGTGCGAATTTAAACCATTAATCAAATAAAGGTTCTGTCAAGAGAGAGCGTTTAACACAAACATGCCCTGGATGACTCCATGCCTTCCGCTTGAGTAAGTGTTTCTTTGTATTAATGACCACGGGAATCAATTGGTTGCGCCGAATTGTGTGAGAGATGCAGGATGCTTTGAACAAATGCATCTGAATCTGCACCTGCTTGTGTGTGGTTGACTACTCAATAAATCCATAGCAACGTTTAAACTATTCTTCTTGCTAAATAGCATGCATACCATAATATGTTGAACATTTCTCCCTATGACTTCAATGGATATCGGCTAAAGCAACCAACGAAATGTTGGCTTGCTTCATGTGTTAGTGGATAGCCTGTTGGCCTAAGTCAACCTTGAATTTTGACACACAAAGAACAAAACTATTCAGGAAGGAAAGAAATGCAACATATATTATATTTAATATTATGATTATGATTATTATTATGTAAATTTTTCAGGAGATTAATATCAATTTTGTTAATTTCCTCGTTGCAATTAATACATTGTCAATAGGCTATTGAAATTAGAAACAAAGTAGTTATATTTAAGGTAACAGTATAAATCATCCTATTATTTTGTTGATATTTCCGATATCCAATATCTATTTATATTTACCTGAAATAAATGGCTTATCCAAATCATCTATTTGAGAACTGCGTCCACAAAGTAGGTTAATATAGTTAAACATATCACTGAAATGTATTCAAGGTCTAATAATGTAATTGTTAGTTGATATCAGATTTAATTGTTTGATCTCTGCCTGCCATATTTAACATAACAACACTTTGGGGATTAGGTTGAACTAAAATAATTTTTTAAACTAACGAGACAAGCGAGCCCCTGCAATTAGTGGACCAATTCCGTTTAACATGATTAGGCCTACATGTATCCATCAACGCAATCATCACCACTTAGACAAGTCTCTAGCCTATTTACACTGCCACAGGGAAAATATCCTTGGCCTCTAAATAATATTTTAAAACTGTGAGTACACTCTCGCAATAAGATCAGGGCGAAGAGCGAGGTCATTTCATGTGACAGGTGGCCACTTCGAGACCATTATTAGTGTAACAGTTGGTAAATATGCAATGTTTTCACCAAATGTTATAGGAATTGCATTTACAAATAGCTCTTTTTCTAAGGTGGACCCTTTGAGAGAAAAAAGCGAGTGCGTAAAATACGCATAAGAAGAAAATGACTATCACAGTAAAAAAAGAAAAGTGACAGAAATAATCCTTGCCCATACACACAATTATTCGCATAGTCATTATAGATTCTTCCACAAAAAAGTGTAAATTAATGCAGCAATTATCTACATAATGGGTGCATGGGTTAGGCTATGCGCTGGAAGGTGACTTTTACGCACGAGCAATATAGTGTTTGTGAACGGGAAAAGGAATAATAAAAAAAGTCCACGCACAAATAAACCCACCTGCATGTCCTCCAGTCCGTGATGTCCAAGGTGCATTCCAAGAGGACCGTCCCCTAGCGCTGCTGCACCCTCCCCGAGTCCGTGGAGAAGCCGGGGTATACCGGGGTACTCCCGACGGTGGTCGAGGCTTAAAGCCCGGTGTGACTGTGACAATAGCCCCGCCTCGTCCGAACGCGACCTCTGCGAGTGCCATGCCGCTTGCTGATGCTGATGAAGGGAGTTGATGGAGGTGTAGGGGTCCGATAAGTGAGAGTATGCAGAGTCCTGGCTCTGTGAGTATGAGAGCGAAGACTGTGGGTATGGAGGGGGGAAGTACGGAGGTTGGAAGTCAGAGGCGGGTGTGTGGCAGAGCGGGGGAGCCGAGGAGTAAGCTGCCTGGTTCAGCGAGGAGAGTTGGGACAGTCGCCCACTCGGCGAGGAGCCGGTCAGTCCGTCCGCGCGGTCCTGTGCATAAAATACAAAAAAGTAGCTTAGACTTCTAAATCAAACAATTTTTTGAAGACATGCAAATGCGACGATTTACTGGACCAAATGTCAGGCCTATAATTACATTTTCCCCCCCCGATTCAAATAATCTTAGCAAAACTATAAATAGTAGCCTAATCGTTATCATAAGTCCATTACAATTCGTTATTATTGTGTGAAGTAGTTAACTGAACTGCAATGAATTAAATACAAAAAAATGACATTTTAAATCAGTTCGATAGCCTATATAAAACTGCACAAAACTTAGTCTGTCTTGACCACAAAAAACTAACAAATGTAGCTTAATATTTAAAATGTCAAAATAACTCAAACGGAGTGTTTGATTTGCATGCAGACAGGCAGCAGGTGCCCCTGGCATCGCTGCATGTCAGTGTCACAAAGGTCATGGCCACTGAGAACCCCAACAGAACAAAGGACAGGTATCAAATGCGCAATAGCATCATGTTGCCCTGGGAAATACAATACTCAATATTATAAAATATGTGAACACATTTGACTACAGGAGCTTCTGAAATATTTACAAAATATTGTAAATATTTTTACGGTAAATGTAAAGCAATATAGCCTAAACATAACTTTAGCCATTTTGTCTGAATGAATTTGGCAGTCATCATTTAATATTGTAATAACATACTATCATCAATGCAATCATTTTGCAATATTCTCCAATTGTCCTGTAGCCTACCTTCCTCCCCATATGCATGCACTTCCTGGTTAAAATCGATTTTTCTAAAGTTGGGTCACTCGGATCAATTTTGTTTTGTTGGAACAATGTCCATTATTAGAAACGAGCAATGGGGGATTTAAAAGCAAAGGAAAAAGGTCATTTAAAATATGTATAAAATAATAAATGACAACATAACACCGATAACCACTATACTAATATATAGGTTACCATCAGAACATGTATGCCTTATACATTTCACACCCCTTTAGCAGTTTCAATTTTCACTATGCTCACCACAGCAAAACGCGATAGTACTTTTACAAAATGATTATGATCTACCATCTCAAAGTGCCATCCTCGTTTAGTCGGCTGTCTTTAAATTCATATTTCTACGGACACTTTGATGCGGTCAGACATTCCGCATACAGCCGATCTATCCCGACAGCTGACAATGACAAAAGCGGCGCCGCTAGTGCGAAGTTAACGTCACATATCTGTGCCCACTCGAGTCAAGACAAAGTTGTAAAAATTGAAAATGACAAGACCATATAGGACCTAATCTGGCCTGCAGACTAGCGCGTAGTACTGAATGTAGAGGGACTCACCATGGCCGAATATGTGTGGACTAACATCTCTTCTGGTTACCCAAATGCACAGTCTAGGATATGGATGCTGTCAATGTCTTATCGATGTCACCAAATAGTTATAATCCAAGATACTTTCATCTGTCTACAAGATCCATGCAGGGAATAGCTAAAGCTTTTTTAAATTATTCTTCTTGCTTTTAGAAATGTCTCAATGTGCCAACCCTCAAGCACGTGCTGTTACGGATGCTGCTGTCAGAAAGTGTCCTAAACGTTCTCCATGCGCGCGCTACTTATAGGTTTCTGAACTCGCTCAACAGAATGAGGGGAGGGGTGGGGGAGTCCAGTTCCCTTAAAGAGATATTCATTCAAACGTTCATTCATTTTCCCACATTTATGTTTGATAATTTGCCTACCTTTACTTTCTTTTTAGATTAGAAGTTATTAAACTAACCAAACATCCCCATATTATTGGCCTTCGTTTTTAAACGCTAAATCAGAGGTCTCATTCCCAGACAACCCAAAATAATTTTGGCACAGAGTATGCGTCAAACAGCCTATTTGTTAGGCTATATGAATCAATATCCAGCCTTCTTTTTAAACTGCCGCGTAATCAAACCATTACGCACGCTATCCACCTCGCTCAACTTTTTGTTAGATGATACAGATAACTCAAAACAACTTTTAAAGTGTTTTTGAAATATATTTACATAATTTTGAATAATTTGAGCGTGCTCACCATGACAATGAGGGAATGTTATCTACAGCATTTCAGGCACCCAAATTGGAGAACTGATATCATTTGCAATATCGATCCCCAAACCCATTATAGCATCAAACAAGTTGTCACTAGTTCTTGCCACTTTACAAATACTATCTTAGAAATATATAGTAATTATAAGTCCTATCTAGCCCTATCAGTAATAGCATGAGAGAAAACAATAATTTTCAAAATTAATTAACCATTTTATAAACTTTTATCAATTCAAGCATAGCCAAATAATTTGTTACCTGACAGTAGGGCTCAGTCTTCGTTCGAGATTTCCAAAGCATGATGACGTTGTTGCAAAGGGTGGCCGGGTCGCAGATATTGAAGTTACGCTTGGACAGGAGGTTATAGCTGGCAACAGGAGGATGGATAAAGACGAGCTGAAGGTAGACTGAAGAGTGAGTTAGTTGGAGTAGCGACGCAGGAGTTTTGTATGAGTCACTCCGAGACATGGACGGAAGTTTGGGGAGTGGTGTGAGGGGAGTCAAGAGGGCTGCTAAATTAGGGCAGAAAAGGGTGAGAGTTTCAAGCCAAAAGGAACAATTTGTATAGATAACACAATCACATTGACCAAGTCGAATGCATGAAGTTGTACTGTAATGTGCAATTATACTATTACGCATGACCATGGCATTTTAAGCAAACTGTATAGATCAGATTTGAATTAATTACAGGCAAATAAATATTATATTTAAGCGTTTTCATAGATATATCCATTCAAACGGAATTATTAGAACGGTACACTCTTAACTTCAGGGTACTGGTGTCTCTTGCTACTGTATCATTTGAAAACTTTGTCCAGACTTGAGACCCTGTTGATTTTTTTTATCAATTACATTTCTCGGAAATTAAACATAGTCATGCAATGACTTTCTCTTTTTGTAAGAAATAAATTAATAAAGTTAAATGCAGCGTTAAAATCTAAAGACCAACGTTAACTTGACATTTCAGAGAAAATAAGTCAAAACAAAATTCTTTCAGTTTTATGGATTGAGAATATCATCTGCCAAACAAAGAATACATCAAATAATTGTTTCACTGATATATCAGTCTCTTCAAAATAACCTCAATGCGTAAACCATGCATAATTCTGGGATTTACCATGACCCAACGTGCCACACTGCTGTCAGAATGCCATCTAGCGGTAGAAAAAGTAACATGCATAGAGACATGGAAAGATATTGGTTCACCTTAACAGTACAATATAGTTACTATACCAATTATATTAGTCTAAAATGTATTTGTTCATAAACCGCATCACTCCTTTCAGAAAACAGGAACATTGGTTTTATGCATCCATTCTGTAAGTGTTTTGAATTTCAGTAGTAAGCAGGACAGCTTTGAGTGTAAATACTGTCTCTTCTCTGTTGAAGGAACATTCTGCTTCAAAATTAAAACATTTAAGATGAAATCTTTATCATAATAATTCTTTATTTTATGCTTCACTTACTTTCATACATGTAACAGACCGCTTATATACAGTCATACCATCTTACAAACAACTGAAATGTTTATCAGGAAGCGTATGACAAAGCAAATATAGCCTGTTACTAAACACAATGATATATTCAGCCATTTTGTATTAGTCTCTAGAGGCTGAAGGGCCTGGAGTTTTTCCCGGTCAGGTTACGCGTCTGCTCAGGCAAAACTCCTGGCCCTCATCTTCATGATCAATACACAAGTGCTTCAGTTTGTGGTAAGGGATTTCCTCAGATTGCCCATGCTACCCAAGGCTCCCTTGGCACTGCTCTTCACGAGGACGCTGATCTCCTGTCGACAGAACGGGCACTGGAGTGCCACTGCGCAGAGGGCCTCCTCTAGTGCCCCATGGGTGTGGGGGTCAGGCAAGGCGCTACAGGAGCCCAGCATGGTGAGGGTGTGGTTGAGCCAACCCTCCTCCCTGACCAGGGTGATGATCCAGGGCTGGGCCTTCACACAGCCTCCCAGGGCCTGCAGACCCAGCCTCCACAGCTCCCCAGCCTCCTCCCACCACTCCTCCCAGGCAGGGGTCACCCTAACTGGGCCCGGGCTCGAGCTGGAGTCCAGGGCACCACGGAGGAACCGCAGGGCTGCGGAGAAGAACCGCCTCTGGCCTGCTTCAACCGGAGCTGGAACATGGTAGAAGAAATATGAAGACAGGCTTCAATGAATTGAAAGTATGTGCTGCTTGAAAGTATGTGAACCCCTTGTGCAATTACAGATTTTTTCAGTTTTTACCATGAAATCTTAATTTAATCAGAACCAGTCTTTTTGATCTGTCATAGCAGGTTTATATTTACCAATACCATATGTTGGTGTAGAGGAAATCATGCGTGTAGTAGGAATTAGTGCAGGTGCAAAAACAAGTGAACCCCAAGTTGCATTGGTTAAATCAAGTAGGTAAGTAGAATCAGGTGGGTAAATAATTAGCTACCAAATGAACCAATCAAAGGAGAGATCGTTAGGAAAGAGTTTGGGCGGGACTCTGACAAATAGAGATAAGAAACCCGGTCAGTTTGGTGTTACCCATCCAGGTGAATGCAAAGCACACCATGCAGAGGAAATGAGATCTCAGAGGACATCAGGACAAGGGTAGTGAGAGCACATCAGTCTGGGGAAGGCTATAAAATCATCTCAAAATGATTTGAGCTCCATCAGTCCACTGTGAGGCAAATCATTTACAAATTGAGAGCATTTAACATGACAGCAACTCGGTCTAGAAGTGGACGCCCTTCCAAAATATCACCAAGAGCCCAAGAACAATAATAATCAGGTAAAAGCCAACCCAAACATAACATCTAGAGATTTGCAGACCTCCCTTGCAGCATCTCAGGTAACTGTGCATGCTTCAACAAGAACACTGAATCGAAATGCCATTCATTGGAGGGTTGCTAGGAAGAAGCCTCTGCTGTCAAAAAAGAACCAAACTGCCCGTCTAACTTTGCCAGAGACCACCTGGACAAACCTGAAGGTTTCTGGAAGTCCATTCTCTGGACCGATGAGTCCAAAATGGACCTTTTTGGTCACAATCAACACTGCTATGTTTGGCGAAAACCCAACACTGCCTACCACCAAAATAACCTTGTCCCAACAGTCAAGCATGGTGGTGGGAATGTCAAGATCTGGGGCTGCTTTTCCTCCTCTGGACCTGGATGAATCCACATCATTAAGGGAACCATGAATTCTGAGGTATACCAGGAGATTCTTGAACAGAACGTCAGGCCATCAGTCAAGGAGCTAAAGCTGGGCCGAAAATGGGTCTTCCAACAAGACAATGACCCAAAGCATTCAAGCAAATCTTCCAAAGAATGGGTCAGGAGAAAGAAGATTTGTGTTTTGGACTGGCCAAGTCAAAGTCCTCACCTAAATCCAATCAAGATGCTGTGGCAGGACCTCAAGTGGGATGTTCATGCCAGACACCCCTCAAACCTCACTCAATTGGCTGAGTTCTGTAAGGAGTGGGCAAAAATCCCTCAAAACAGATGTCAGAGACTGATTACTGGCTATAGGAGACGTTTAGTCCAAGTTATCCCTACTAATGGAGGCGCCACAAGCTATTGACTTAAGGGGTTCACATTTTTGCACACATAAAATCTGAGTTTCTGTTGCACAAACAATGAAAATATAATTTTCTTGTTTCTGTCATTTACTTGGAATGTCTTTATTACGAATTGTGGTTTAGATAAGGATTTTATAGGTTTATTTAATAGCAAAATAATGACCATCCCTGTAGGGTTCACATACTTTCAAGTAGCACTATATTTAGGCATCCCTTTATACAATTGCAAAAATAACCAATTCTATTTAGACAGAAATTGGCACATTCATTAATCTAAAAACAAAGCCATGTTAACTCACCTTTAGGAGCCGGTTTAAGCCTGCCAATCATAAGCCCCAGAGTACAAAGATTGGCCGCCAGGACCAAGAGGCGGGGTTTGTGCAGGAGAACAGGAAGTGCTTCACTCAACAGTGACTCGAGGCTTCTGAAACAAGGGTCCTTTCTGAGCGACAAGATTGTGCATAAATAACACACATTAGAGATTTTCTGTCACACAGGTTGAATTGTAATCTTGTGCATCCCTAATGTGAACTTGCAGTTAGTGAACTATTTACTGCTGACAGAGGGGGAGATTCATTTTCATATCTTTCATAGTCAACAACACAAAACGACCCCAATTTTGCTGTATAAAAATCCATCCCACCTAGTCACCAGTGTCGGTAAATGAAACTATGCTATACATGTTTGTATAACATATTATGTGTCTATTTCAGTCTCTACAAAATACAAACGTATACGCTATACAACATATACGTGTGTATTTGGGTCTCTACAAGGGCAGCTGCGTGTTGTATTTATTTTGTACCTGACTCGCTCTGGTTCCGTGACAGCAAAGTTGAGCAGGGCTGAGCAGGCTGTCTCCATACTGGGGTCCCGGGATAATGCTGCCCCTCCTTTCCCCCGCAGGTCGCCCCATCCCTGGGATAGGAAAGTGACGAGGAGAGCCGGGGTGTCCAGGGTAAGTAACACCTTCCTTGGGGTGTCCTCTGCAGAGAGGTGGCACAGAGCTGGGAGGAGATACCTAGAGAGGAAAAAAGGGAGAGAGGCTGTGCCATACGATCCTGTTTCCCAAATGCAGTCAACTCCTGATAAAATGCACAAAGCTTGGGACTATCAGGACAACCTGCACTAAACCCAGCATGCAGTTATCAGGAGCAATTTTTAAAATAATTCAATTGGGACTGAAATCAGATTATCCTTCCTTTGTGTTGAGTCAACCTACCTTAGAGCATCTTTGCCTGTCCAAGCCCCTCTCTGTGAGCAGTCACCTACAGACATCTCCGACATCCAATTGGAAAGACCCTGGTCCTGACTCTCTCCCTGCAGATGGCTTCTGGCGTAGCCCATCAGAAAGGGCAAGAGGGCGGTCACTTCCTCCTTGAGACAGGAAGTCTCTTCGGCAAGCCAGGCGCAGAGGGAACGGAATGTGGCGAAAATGAAGGGGTCGCTGTAACGACTCAGATCAACCTGGAGAAAAATATTTAAAAGTTAGTTTCAGAATCAGAGTTAGCCTTCTCTTACAGGAATACTCTTTGAGCAAAGCTGAAAGTGTGATATAAGTTAAACACTACCGTATTGGGTAAATCCATTTGAATTCAATCACTTTTTGACAGCACCCCTTTGATTTGAACAAAATCTTCAATACATATTTTCCCATTGTAGAAGCGCTCAGAAAGTGACTTTTTGGATCTGAATGCCAAAACGTAAATGTGCTCAAAGTTGACCCACTTTGCATACCCCCCACCATACCATGAGACATCCATGTCTTCATCACTGGAAAATATGGCCCTTTACACTTGTACCCGTATATGGATTGAAAATTGACACTGATAAGTGCCTAAATTGGAACATAGTGGCTGTACAGTTACATGCTATAAATGACATCAGAGCTCAGGGTCTCCACTTCACAGCTCTGCATGGGTTTTGACTGACAGCCGTTCTGAACTTGACCACCGCGCGCAACAAGAAGTTGCCCACATCCCTCCCGCTAAATGGGCAACTTTTGCTACTTTTCTGTTGTCCGAGTGAGGAAAATGCTGCAAATTACGAGGACTCTATGTATTTTGAAAAATGAGACATTGAGGATTATAACAAATATCGCTTTGATGTCATACAAGCAAGCCAAACACCTGTGAGTCCAAATGCGCACTTCACATTTCCATATCATAAAACTCATGTCATATAGTGTCAACGTTTATGATCACTATGTTTGATGTACAGTTCCAAGATGACGCAGCGTTATACCCTGGGTTGTCATGAACAGAATGAGCCCGTTTGTTGTATTGTAAAGAAAATTTGTCGCGGACCACGCATCTGAATGCACTATTGGAAACACCAGTTAGACCTCATTCAAACCTTTGCCATGTCTTATGTTGCGCCTACACCAAATTTTCCACGAATATTCTTATCATGTTACTAATGTATGCAGAGTATTTTCTGATTTCACTAAAGAAATCAGGCGAAAAGTACAGTAATTGTAAAATGCACATAAAATCAAGTGAAATGTTTGGATTCAGTCTTGTGAACTGTGGTGTCCTCACATTTAGTCTAATAATTTTCCAATAATCTCCAAACGGTTCCCTTTTCATTGCTACCACGGTTATGCATATGCTTTCCGTATTTAATCTGTAAGAAACATTTCAATTTAGCCCTATCCATATAGTGTAAGGGGTTACATATATAGTACCAGTCAAAAGTTGACACATTTACTAATTCAAGGGTTTTTATTTACTTTTTACTCTTTTCTACATTGTACAATAATAGTAAAGACAAACTATGAAATAACATATATGGAATCATGTAGGAACCAAAATAGTGTTAAACAAATCAAAATATAGTTTATATTTTAGATTCTTTAAAGTAGCCAACCTTTGCCTTTGACAGCTTTGCACACTCTTAGCATTCTCTCAACCAGCATTTCAATTAACAGGTGTGCCTTGTTAAAAGTTAATTTGTGGAATTTCTTTCCTTCTAGGTGTGATGGTGCTTTGCTGGTGACACTGTTTGTGATTTATTTAGAATTCTAGGCACACTTAACCAGCATGGCTACCACAGCATTCTGCAGCGATATGCCATTCCATCTGGTTTGCGCTTAGTGGGACTATCATTTGTTTTTCAATAGGACAATGACCCAAAACACACCTCCAGGCTGTGTAAAGGCTATTTGACCAATAAGGAGAGTGATGGAGTGCTGCATTAGATGACCTGACCTCCACAATCACCCGACCTCAACCCAATTGAGATGGTTTGGGATGAGTTGGACCACAGAGTGAAGGAAAAGCAGCCAACAAGTGCTCAACATATGTGGGCACTCCTTCAAGACTGTTTGAAAAGCATTCCAGGTGACTACCTCATGAAGCTGGTTGAGAGAAAGCCAAGAGAGTGCAAAGCTGTCAAAGCAAAGTGTGGCTACTTTGAATAATCTAAAATATAAACTATATTTAGGTTTGTTTAACACTTTTTTGGTTACTACATGATTCCATATGTCTTCACCATCATTCTACAATGTAGAAAACTGTAAAAATAAAGAACAACTTTTGACTGGCCACTGTATAGACCCCTTCCCCTTTTTCCACTTTGTTACGTACAGCCTTATTCTAAAATGTATAAAATGTATTTTTTCCCTTAATCTACACACAATACCCCATAATAACAAAGCGAAAACAGTTTTTAATTTTTTTTAGCAAATATATATATATATATATATATATATATATATATATATATATATATATACACACACACACACACACACACACCTTATTTACATAAGTATTCAGACTCGAAATTGAGCTCGGGTGCATCCTGTTTCCATTGATCATCCTTGAGATATTTCTACAATTTGATTGGAGTCCTCCTGTGGTAAATTCAATTGATTGGACATGATTTGGAAAGGCACACACCTGCCTATATAACGTCCCACAGTTGACAGTGCATGTCAGAGCAAAAACTAAGCCATGAGGTCGAAGGAATTGTCCGTAGAGCTCAGAGACAGGATTGTGTCGAGGCACAGATCTAGGGAAGGGTACCAACACATTTCTGCAGCATTGAAGGTCCCCAAGAACACTGGCCTCCATCATTCTTAAATGGAAGAAGTTTGGTACTATCAAGACTCTTCCTAGAGCTGGCCGCCCTGCCAAACTGAGCAATCGGGGGAGAAGGGCCTTGGTCAGGGAGGTGACCAAGAACCCGATGGTCACTTTGACAGAGCTCCAGAGTTCCTCTGTGGAGATGGGAGAACCTTCCAGAAGGACAACCATCTCTGCAGCAGTACACCAATCAGGCCTTTATGGTAGAGTGGCCAGACAGAAGCCACTCCTCAGTAAAAAGGCACATGACAGCCAACTTGGAGTTTGCCAAAAGGCACCTAAAGGTCTCTCAGACCATGAGAAACAAGATTCTCTGGTCTGATGATACCAATATTTAACTATTTGGCCTGAATGCCAAGCGTCAAGTCTGGAGGAAACCAGGGAGAAACTCCCCAAATACAGGTGTGCCAAGCTTGTAGCGTCATACACAAAAATACTTGAGGCAGTAATCGCTGCCAAAAGGTGCTTCAACAAAGCACTGAGTAAAGGGTCTGAATACTTATGTAATAGTGATATTTCAGTTTATTTTTTTAAATAAATTTGCAAAGAAATCAACAAACGTCAATTATCCCAAAACTCCTATTTTTTTATATTTGCATACACCCTATTTTACATGATCTCTGGTTGTGTTGGATGTAGGATGCCACCTTTCCAACAAGCCAGTTCGTCAAATTTCTGCCCTGATAGAGCTGCCCCGGTCAACTGTAAGTGCTGTTATTGTGAAGTGTAAACGTCTAGGCGCAACAATGGCTCAGCCACGAAATGGTAGGCCACACAAGCTCATAGAATGGGACTGCCGAGTGCTGAAGAGCGTAGCGCGCAAAAATCGTCTGTCCTCGGTTGCAACACTCACTACAGAGTTCCAAACTGCCTTTGGAAGCAACGTCAGCACAATAACTGTTCGTCGGGAATCACGCTTCATCATCTGGCAGTCCGACGGACTAATCTGGGTTTGGCGGATGCCTGGAGAACGCTACCTGCCCCAATGCATAGTGGCAACTGTAAAGTTTGGTGGACGAGGAATAATGGTCTGGGGCTGTTTTTCATGGTTCGGGGTAGGCCCCTTAGTTCCAATGAAGGGAAATCTTAACGTTACAGCATACAATGACATTGTAGACGATTCTGTGCTTCCAACTTTGTGGCAACAGTTTGGGGAAGGCCTTTTCCTGTTTCAGCATGACAATGCCCCCGTGCACAAAGCGAGGTCCATACAGAAATGGTTTGTCGAGATCGGCGTGAATTAACTTGACTGGCCTGCACAGAGCCCTGACCTCAACCTCATCGTACACCTTTGGGATGAACTGGAACGCCGACTGCGAGCCAGGCCTAATTGCCCAACCTCATTAATGCTCGTGGCTGAATGGAAGCAAGTCCCCACAGAAATGTTCCAACATCTTGTGGAAAGCCTTCCCAGAAGAGTGGAGCCTGTTATAACAGCAAATGGGGGGACCAACTCCATATTAATACCTATGATTTTGGAATGAGGTGTTCGACGAGCAGCTGTCCACATACTTTTGGTCATGTAGTGTTTTCTTGCGGGAAACATGATTTGAATTTAACTCCACCTACACTTTCTTACAGACACTCTGGCTGGTGTGTATAATGAGTATGAATGCATCTTGTTTGCCTCGTTCTCTTACCTGCTGAAGGTGATAGATGACTGCCGAGAAGGCCTCCTCCAGAACCCGGAGAACCTGCCTGCTCTGCTGCAGACTGAGCCCAGTGATGGCAGTCTGTGGCTGGGCATCGCTTTGCTGGGTGACTCCCTGGCTGCTGCAGGCCTGCTCCATGGCTGCCTCCATGACGCGGTAGCAGGCGGTGAGCGTCTGTTGCAGCTGGGGACTCAGCTCTGTATCGGGGGGCTCCTCCAGGCCCATCCTCACCTCCACACAGGCCCGGTTCACCAGCAGGCAACAGAATTTAGGTGGCCCCACAGGCTCCCAGCCGCACAGGTCCAACAGGCAGGCGGAGAGGACTAACACAGGGCCTAACTGATCTGGGGTCAGCTTGGCCTGCAGCATGGGCCTCAGGGCCACCCACAGACTGACCATAGTTGGCGTTAGGTCAGTGTCCTTTGGTGTCCCACCTGGCAAGGGGAGGAACTGCGGCACCAGGGCACACATATCGAGCTGGGTGAGGCCAGTGGCTCTGCAGAAGTCTTGGGAGACTCTGGCCAGGAGGGAGAGGAGTTCGGCTGGGTGCTTACTCCAGGCTCTCTCTTTAGTTTTGCCTGAGAGGAGGGCACCCAGGAGGGGTAGCCCTTTTTCATGGCTCAGTGTCTGTTTCTGCTCCAAGGCCCGACAAAGAGCTGGGACAGCACCCCTGGCCAGGAGCTGATCTGGGCCCCGGGGTAAAGCACACACTGTAATCAGAACCTGGTAACAGTCTGTAGCCAAGGCCTCATCCAGTTTGACTGTTGAATGGGAAGTTGGAGCTCCATTCTCTGCAGTACCTTCCTCAGAGCCTGTAGTGCTCTTCGCATCCTGAGCTGGTGCTTTGACTCCTGCAGTGTCCTGGACAGGCTCTTTGGTAGTGTTTATGCTCTGTGATGACTGTTCACCATCTTCAGCCTGGCTTGGCTGGTCTGGTTCCATCCCTTGTCTAGCCTGGTGCTGGGCTTGTTTCTGCAGGCTCCATTTGGGCCCATCGGCCAGCAGCCCTAGCAGTAGAGGGATGGTGGTGAGGAGCTGTGGGTGGGCAGCCATGTCTGGGTCTGTGCTGAGGGCAGCCAACAGAGCCGTGCCCAGAGACAGAAGCTCCTCTGGGGGCAAGCCGGAGGCGTCACTCCCCCGGACCGCAGTCACCAGAAGGCGAGCTGGAAGACTCAGCCCCACCGCCTCAAAGATGCGCCGCAGCGTCGCACTGTCGAGCTGGCCTGCTGGACACAATCGTGTAATCTACAGAACAGAAAGGAGAGAGAATATAAGGGTGAGATTATTATTTTTTACCCACCATACCAGATTAAATAGAATGACTAAGGGTCGATGAGAAGGTAGACTGGTGACACTTACCAGGAGGAGTGCAGCGAGTGTGTGGCTGTCGTTTTTGGCGTGGGTGAGTGTGTGTAGACAGCGCTCCAGGACCTCGCGCTGGGCAGCAGACAAGGCATCTATCGCCTGCTGAGCTCCCTCTCCTTCCTCACTGCCTGTGTGTTGGCCACTGGAATCACTCTCAGAGCTCACAATACATGTACCCTCAGCCATTGCTAATGCAGTCCTGTCAACACAATATGCATATCAGTGGTGAAAATGAGTTAGACAGAGATCCAGACAATGCCCCATCATCACAACAAATTTGACATAGTTATAGCCAGGCCTATGCTAGGTTCTGAACTGAGTATTGATACAGGTTTGATCAGATTGATTGCAGGCAAGTTTCCCCTAAGCTCACCACCAACAGTCAACACATTATGAAATAAGTTGGAGCACTACACAAAAAAAGGCAGAGATTGATTTATTTTTGCTCACTTTAATCCATTGTACAGGATGCGAACAGATTAAGACATCAGCTTGACGTTGAAACGTCAATCATCTAATAATATAATAATATGCCATTTAGCAGACGCTTTTATCCAAAGCAAAACAGAAAGAGAAATGCAACACTTATTTGTCAATCACTCACACACACGTTGATATCGATTGCGCGAGAGGGGGGAGATGTGGTTGCACGTCCTGTTAAAACTAACTGCTACTAACACAAAACCCACAGAATCTGGGAATAATGTGTACATCACTGGTTAGAGAACAATTTGTAGAAGACAGCTAGCTAGGCCTACATTTTGAAGCGTTGCATTTTGATTCAAGTGGGTCGCCAACGCGGTAAGTGTAATGCAACCCTTTTTTGGTTAATCACTTCGATATCATGCTGAAATCAATAGAACAGAGGGAAAACGCTTGTTGAAACTAACACAATTGAAAGGCCACACCGAAACTTGGTATAACCTATACATGGTTGGTTAGATGAGAACTTGTAGAAGGCTTATCTATATTTTGGAATGTCGGATATTCATTTCGGGAGGCTGCCATCACAGAAAAGGAACAGACCACCTTTTCTGTTAGTTAAATTAAACAAATAACGACGCGGCATAGGATATCAACAGTGACAATGGTTGGCTGCTATTTAAGCGATAGTTTGACAGTTGAATTCATGTATTGGTGTATGGCAAGCGACTTTTATAGAGACCGCCCCAAATTTTCCGTGCCATTTCATTAACTGCGTTCAAAGTCCTGCGCATCCCAGCGCGTGTGACAAAATCAACGGTACAAAACCAAAGATATTTATCTGTTTTAAGCAATCAATCACATGCCATCGTGATGGCTATACACTTTTATACTAATATCACCAATCTGAGGTAAAAAGGATGTGTAATTCCACTCAATTTTATGGGGTGAAAAATGCAAGCTTGTGTAAGTTAGTAACACAAACTGTCCACATTAGGGAAATTAGCGCAATACATAATAATTTAATATGGCAAAATAATTCAACATATCAATGTAAGGTGATAGTATATGTTTGCCCACTCACAAACTATTGCAACAATTACATATTTCTCACTCATTTAACCATTTAGAGAGTTTTAAAATGCTCTCAAACAATTTAACCCGCCGCTCTAGACAAGAGTTTCCCTAACTCTGTCCTGGGGCCCCACCCGGGTGACCGAGTTTGGGAAACCCTGCTCTAGACTAAAGCCTCCACAGTGTCTGTGCAGCAGCCTGAAAGTTTGACATCCCTACTCTTAAAGAGCTTAACATTAACATTAGCCTTTAGGTCCAAGGACCTTGTTATTTTCAGAGGTAGACTGGCTCTGGCAGCCAAATACACCATCTGAACATGAATCGATTCTCACTTACGATACGGTTCTAGAAACAAAGCCCTTTTCATATCACATCAAAATAATTGCACAAATGCAAAATACACGCATTGTACACTGTTTTAACCTCTATGGGATCGGTGTCCCGTATATGGGCCGGTTGAGCTAACGTGCGCTAATGTGATTAGCATGACTTGTCAGTAACAGCAAACTTTCCAGGACATAGACATGTCTTATATGGGCAGAAAGCTTAAATTCTTGTTAACCAAAAAAGGGTTGCATTGCACTGTCCAATTTACAGTAGCTATTACAGTGAAAAAATAGCATGCTATTGTTTGAGTAGAGTGCACAACAACAAAAAACGTATCACGGCAACTGGTTTGATACATTTACCTCTGAAGGTAAATAATGTACTTACATTCAGTAATCTTGCTCTGATTTGTCATCCTACGGGTCCAAGAGATAAAACGTAGCATAGTTTTGTTTGATAAAATCTATTTTATATTCAAATGTAGGAACTGGGTTCTACAGTTTGAACCCCTGCTGTCTCCGGCTCCACACCCACCCCACCATCTAGATGTGTGAAAGTTAGTGTATAAGTTAATGATCCATCATGTATGACATTCATGGGAGTGTGTAAACTTACATTTTGTATTACCATATCATTTTTGTATGTTCTCTATAGTTATGTACTTGAAAATGTATCAATTTGACCAATTCGGCACATTTGGGCAGACTTGATACAAAATAGTACAGTATTGCAATGCTTCACTGGATCAATCTGAAACTTTGCACACATACTGCTGCCATCTAGTGGCCAACATCTAAATTGCGCCTAAACTGCAATATTATATTGTGGCCTTTCTCTTGCATTTCAAAGATGATGAAAAAATAAAGAAATAGAAAACGAATGTTTTTTGGTTTGTATCATCTTTTACCAGATCTAATGTGTTATATTCTCCTACCTTGATGTCACATTTCTACAAAACTTCAAAGTGTTTCCTTTCAAATGGTATCAAGAATATGCATATCCTTGCTTCAGGTCCTGAGCAACAGGCAGTTCGATTTGGGTATGTCATTTTAGGCGAAAATTTAAAAAAAGGGTCCGATCCTTAAGAGGTTACCCAGCTTTATCACAGTTGCAGCTGACAGTATTTTTCAGTGACAACACGTTTCTGGCGGCCTTCTACACAGGTATTCGGAGCCGCTGTAACATAGCGATATGACCATGTGGGAACACGAACCCTATAAAAAGGTGTGTATTATTTACTTCCTAAACCGTACCGTAAGCGATGCATGTTAATGTTCAGACGGAGCGTCGGGGCTCTTAACAAAACTCCTCCGTACAGAAGAAACCTTCATCCAATGACTCTTGTGTAATTGAACTGAGAGTCATGATCAAGGGCTAGGCTAACTCACGTTAGCAAGCTTGCCAAAGTGTGGTGGCTAATGAACTCATATCGTTTACGTTCAGCGTATATATCTTTTAGCATTTTATTTGGCATACATTGAAAACGACTGTGATAAAATAATCAATGGAATTAGTGTAAGTAACTACAAACATACTCACATTTAGGCTAGCTGCGTTCTTTATTTGTTCATTCAACTTTCCGCGCTGCACTGCACAAGATAATGACATCCACGAAAGTAAGCTATCAAAACAAGAAATGGTTACAACAACCAATCAACGTGATCAAAAAATTATAATCGGCCAATCATGAGGAGGTTCTTTAACATGTAAGGACGCCATTTTGGTTGGTGTTCAGTTCTGGGAACGTTTATATTTTTTATTAGCACAGGATTTATTTTTAATGCTCTTTGATAATGTTGTGTTTTGTCATAGTAAAAAAATATTACTTAAAAAGTTTGCAATTACATGGCTGCGTGAGACGGAAGTGATTGGATTAGTTTTGTTTAGGTTTCTTTCTGAGTGAAGTCGCAAACTGCGCAAGCAAGACCTCTAAAAAGCCCGTTTTTGTGAATCATACTGAACAAAAATATAAACGCAACAATTTCAAAGATTTTACTTTGTTACAGTTCATAGAAGGAAATCAGTCAATTGAAATAAATTAATTAGGCCCTAATCTATGGATTTCACATGACTGGGCAGGGGCACCACAATGGGTGTGCCTGGGAGGGCATAGGCCCACCCACTGGGGAGCCAGGCCCAGCCAATCAGAATGAGTTTTTCCCCAAACAAGGGCTTTATTACAGACAGAAATAATCCTCAGAAGGTGAAGAAGCTGAATGTGGAGGTCCTGGGTTGGTGTGGTTACAAGCAATGTTCCCGCTAAGCTGCACGCGCAGTAGCACAAGACTTGCCACCCAGCTCCCCGGGACTGCCATGCAGAAATATCAGCCCACAGAGAGAAGCACGAGATTGAACTTCACTCAACTTTCTAGAGCAGTGGTCACCAACCGGTCGCATTCCTAGTAAATCGCCAAACATTTCTGTAAAAAACCCAACGATAAAGCCTTGTGTTCCTATTTTTAAAAAAAATTGTCACAGGCTGTTGGCGGTAGGTGCACCCGATTCAGCTGCCCTGTGCGCGAACTGTTGCCATTTGAACCTTTTCATGTGTCTGAAGGTACAAACTCTGCCTTCCCGGCGGGCCCAGAGAGCAAATCAAGTGCACTATAGGCCTACCACTGGCCAATCGGATGGCTCAGATGACCGTGTCTGCAGTAACGTAGCAGACATAAAAGAAAGCGACAGCAAATCAAATCAAATCAAATTTTATTGGTCACATGCGCCGAATACAACAGGTGCAGACATTACAGTGAAATGCTTACTTACAGCCCTTAACCAACAGTGCATTTATTTTTAACAAAAAAAGTAAAAATAAAACAACAACAAAAAAAGTGTTGAGAAAAAAAAGAGCAGAAGTCAAATAAAATAACATTAGGGAGGCTATATATACAGGGGGGTACCGGTGCAGAGTCAATGTGCGGGGGCACCGGCTAGTTGAGGTAGTTGAAGTAATATGTACATGTGGGTAGAGTTAAAGTGACTATGCATAAATAATTAACAGAGTAGCAGCAGCGTAAAAAGGATGGGGTGGGGGGGCAGTGCAAATAGTCCGGGTAGCCATGATTAGCTGTTCAGGAGTCTTATGGCTTGGGGGTAGAAGCTGTTGAGAAGTCTTTTGGACCTAGACTTGGCACTCCGGTACCGCTTGCCGTGCGGTAGCAGAGAGAACAGTCTATGACTAGGGTGGCTGGAGTCTTTGACAATTTTGAGGGCCTTCCTCTGACACCGCCTGGTATAGAGGTCCTGGATGGCAGGAAGCTTGGCCCCAGTGATGTACTGGGCCGTACGCACTACTCTCTGTAGTGCCTTGCGGTCGGAGGCCAAGCAGTTGCCATACCAGGCGGTGATGCAACCAGTCAGGATGCTCTCGATGGTGCAGCTGTAGAATTTTTTGAGGATCTGAGGACCCATGCCAAATCTTTTCAGTCTCCTGAGGGGGAATAGGCTTTGTCGTGCCCTCTTCACGACTGTCTTGGTGTGTTTGGACCATGATAGTTTGTTGGTGATGTGGACACCAAGGAACTTGAAGCTCTCAACCTGTTCCACTACAGCCCCGTCGATGAGAATGGGGGCGTGCTCAGTCCTCTTTTTTTTCCTGTAGTCCACAATCATCTCCTTTGTCTTGGTCACGTTGAGGTAGAGGTTGTTGTCCTGGCCCCACACGGCCAGGTCTCTGACCTCCTCCCTATAGGCTGTCTCATCGTTGTCGGTGATCAGGCCTACCACTGTTGTGTCGTCGGCAAACTTAATGATGGTGTTGGAGTCGTGCCTGGCCATGCAGTCATGGGTGAACAGAGAGTACAGGAGGGGACTGAGCACGCACCCCTGAGGGACCCCCGTGTTGAGGATCAGTGTGGCAGATGTGTTGTTACCTACCCTTACCACCTGGGGGCGGCCCGTCAGGAAGTCCAGGTTGATACTGTGAGATTTCAAAACGTTTAAAACCATGAGTCACACGCACTGTTGGGGCGAGTGACTCTGAACTTACAATGGCTAGCCCCAAGTCGTTATATTTATTTATTGTGCTTTATGCTTTATGCTATTTGCCTCATGACTCTATTGGTTACACGGACTCTTGGCCTCCCATCCTATTCTAACCACCTCTCGCCGGCTTTGTATTCATGTTACCTGATGAAATTGCTGTACAATATGATCTTGTTGCCATCTGATGCACATTAAAATGTCATAAAAAATCAACACTGCAGAGCTCTCCCTGTCCTCTGCTGTGCCCTGATTGTATTACTGAGGATGATATCTGGAAATGTGCATGTACACCCTGGCCCATCTACTGTTGCTAGCCCCAATTCTGACTTGTGCTCTGATATCTGCTTCGCTGATTTATGCTCTTTTAAAAGTTTTCTGCACGTTAACACTAGAAGCTTATTACCTAAAATGGATCAAATGAAAGTGTAGGTTCACAGCTCCAATCCAGATGTGTTGGTCATTACTGAGATATGGTTAAGAGAGTGTTTTGAACATTGAAGTTAACCTTTCTGGTTATAACCCTATTCGGCCAGACAGATCTTCCAAAGGTGGTGGAGTGGCAATCTTTACCAATGAACACCTTCAGTGCTCGGTTGTCTCCACCAAGTCTGTCCCCAAACATTTTGATTTGCTGGTTTTAAGCATTAAACTTTCAAATAGCTCTTTATTGACTGTTGCCGGGTGTTATCAGCCACCATCAGCACCGGACTGTACCCTAAATGCTCTAAGCTCTCTCCTGGCCCCTTACACTAAATCTGAATTTGTCCTGCTAGGTGACCTAAACTGGGTCATGCTTAAACCACCTGACCAAGTCCTAAAGCAATGGGACTCCCTAAATCTTTCTCAGATTATTACCAATCCCACAAGGTATGACTCCAAACACCGAGAAAAGGCTACTCTCCTTGATGTTATCCTCACAAATAATCCTGATAGGTATCAGTCTGGTGTTTTCTGTAATGACCTTAGTGATGCCTGTGTTCGTAATGGCTGCTCAATGAAACAACCTGTCCTGATTAGTCATAGACACTTGCTAAAAAACTTTAATGAGCAAGCCTTCCTTCATGACCTGGCCACTGTAAATTGGTATAGAATCAGCTTGATCCCCTCTGTCGAAGACGCTTCAACCTTCTTTTTTGATATTTTTAGTGGTATTGTTAACAAACACGCCCCCATAAGGAAAATGAGAATTAAAAACAGGTTCAGCCCCTGGGTCGACCATGATCTGGCAGAGTTTCTCCACCTCAGAACATCCGCTGTCTCAGCCAATGCCTGTCACCAAGGGAATAATCCAAGGCTTGATCCTAGGCCCCACGCTCTTCTCAATTTATATCAACTACATAGCTCAGGCAGTAGGAAGCTCTCTCCTCCATTTATATGCAGATGATACAGTCTTATACTCAGCTGGCCCTTCCCCGGATTTTGTGTTAAACGTTCTTCAACAAAGCTTTCTTAGTGTTCAAAAAGCTTTCTCTGCCCTTAACCTTGTTCTGAACACCTCCAAAACAAAGGTCATGTGGTTTGGTAAGAAGAATGCCCCTCTCCCCACTGGTGTGATTATTACCTCTGATGGTTTAGAGCTTGAGGTAGTCACATCATACAAGTACTTGGGAGTATGGCTAGACGGTACACTGTCCTTCTCTCAGCACAAATCAAAGCTGCAGGCTAAGGTTAAATCTAGACTTGGTTTCCTCTATCGTAATTGCTCCTCTTTCACCCCAGCTGCCAAACTAACCCTGATTCAGATGACCATCCTTGTCACGTCTCCTCCCGTTGCTCCCCTCAGGCGCTCTGATTCGCCGGTCTACTGAGCCACCGGTCTGAGCGCACCACCTCGGCAACACCAGAATGGAAACCCAATGCACCCTAATCACCTCCAGCGCTCCTGTACCTCATCATCTCATCACCACCCCTATATAGCCCTGGACTGTTCAGTGTTGTGTTGTATGTGATTGTTAGTGTCTTGTCGTGTACTCACACTTTGTTGTGCTCTTGCTCAGTGTTAAGTAAACCTTTACATTGTTGATTCCTGCGTCTGCGTCCTGCCTCTTCGTATCCTCAGTACTCGTCACAGAATCACACACCAATCACGAAGATGGATGCAACAGGTAATCCTCCTGGAGTTTCCCAGCGCCTCGACCAACACCAGCAGCAGATTGCCCAGCTGAACGCCGCCATGCAGGAAGTGCTCCAAACGCTGCATAAACTGACCATCGCTCCGGTTCCACCTCAGGGAGCGGCGAGTGCACCCAGTCCACCTCCTCCCGGGCTATCACCAACGTCTGAGGGACCCCTCGCCCTGCTAGAGTGCTATGACGGGAAAACGACAAAATGTAGAGGCTTCCTGCTACAGGTTTCACTGTATCTGGAGCATCAGCGTGGTGCATCTCCATCGGACCAAGCCAGGATAGCGCTGGTGATTTCACTACTGAAGGGAAAGACGCTGGGAAGGGCTACAGCAGTCTGGGAAGGAGGTGAGGCCACGGCGCTTCCCTACTCCATCTTCCTCGCTTGGTTCAGGGCAGTGTTCAATTATCCCACGGAGGGAAAGGACGGGGGTGAGTGTCTCCTCCGGCTACAACAGGGAGAGGGGGCCGCGTGCGAGTACGCCCTGAGTTTTCGCACGGTGGCGGCGTCTTC